TAAACTAATCCTTTAAGACCTTTCTGCCATGGTCTACTGTGCCCTGTGTTTGACTAATGGTCTCTTTGTCTCTTCGTCTTTTTGCAATACCAATCTCTCCATGTCCTCTTCTCAGAGTGACTGTTTACTTCTCTGCTGGAGCCTCACTGGCTCTCCTTAAGTCATGCTTGGATGTAAGTGTGATCCAAGTCTTGACACCTCTCCGTCAGAGCCTTTCTTATGATCTTCTCCAGTTCTCAGGTTTCAGTGGTCTCTAGAGATGCTTTCCAAATCAGGTTTGCCTCACCTAACACCTAAAGTCAACAAGGTAAAACCAACTCTTCTCCCGCTCTGTGATTTCACCTTGGCTGCCCTCTTAGGTAGCCGCATCTCCTTAGTTGTCCTAAACCCTTTCCTTTTCCTTATATCAGCCCTTTCTCCAACTTTCTAATTGTCAAATGTAGTTTTTCTATATTCAAAATATCTTGATTCCTGGACCAGAAACATGGTTTTGCCGCCAAGCCTGACTATCTTAGTTCAATTCCCGGGACCTACATAATGGAAGTAAAGAACTGACTCCAGCAAGTTGCCCTTTGACCTCCACCTATACATCTTGGCAAGCTTATGCCTCATGCCATATACACTCATGCACATGAAAACAAAAGGTCATTTGAAAATAAACTATTTTGAATCCTTTCCCTTTGTCTTGCCATTGCATGGCTGATACCTGTTTCTAATTAGTTTGGAGTCAAAACAGTCGGCTAGCATGTCTGCACACCTCCACTCTGGCCCCACTAGACCATTCTATCTGCTGCTGCAAAACAAATCACCCCACCCAATACAGACAGTGCTTTTAAACTTGATCTTGAGTGCAACATAATACAGCAAGAGATCCTGTCCAAATTTTCTATGCAATGACGCATGTGAACATGTCTGCCACAGTGAAACATTGACATAGTCACACAAGTCTCCAACAAGCACTACTGTGGGTACGGAGACATAAATGGTGGCCAAGACAGGCACACATGTTCTGCCTACTGAAGTTTGTGTTCTCAGAGGATGAGATGGGTGACAGGTACATAAATTCAGTCAGATGCAAAACTTACCAACTATGCAAAGCAATAAACTAGGGCAAAGAGACGAAACAGTGGGAGGCTAAAGACTGATACTGAAGAAAGGGTCAGCAAGACAGGTCTCGCTGCAAACGACACTGATGCAGGGACCTAAGAGGGGAGGGAATAAGCCCTTGGCATCCCTAGGACAGTCATATCCAGGCATAAGGAGCAGCAGCCTTCTCTTTTAGGTGCTGCATATAAGCATCTGTGGTTGGGTCTGGATTGAGAAGGGATAGATGATGATGTCAGATATGGAGGAGGAACTCCTGTCACTTGAGGCTTTATGACCAACTTTAAGACTTTATTTTGAAGATGATGAGAGGCCACCAGAGGAAGTCCTTTTTCATCATACCTTAGGGCAGGACCAGTCTTTTAAGAGGAGCTTAGCATGACATGTGACCCCCGTGGGTAGGTCATTTTCAATGGTTTTGCCATTATGATTTTCCATAAAAGGAAATAAGATGCAATTGATGGAGAAATAATTTAAACCCTCACCATCATCCTAACCATACATTGTACTGTCTCCTTTTGTTTCAACTCCTTGATGGAGTCAAGGATGTCAACTCAGAATTCTATCAAGTAAGCCAAACAATGACAAATAATTCATTTGCCTTATTTTCTACTGTTTATTTTTACATAGATTTTTGGTAAGCTAATGAGGTTATTGTGAACATTAATCAGATCTCCTTTCCAAAGGGTTTTTTTGACACAGTATGTTAAAAATATGAACATGAATAAATGCTGTTTAATTTGTTGCCTTTTGTTCTTTTCTTTTTCATGACACAAGTAACTGTATATCTTTGATGTAGAAGTTTTTTAGTTCAAAAGAATTTAGGTCAAAATTTCAAGACTGAGTCTATTGAACTTACAAATAAGCAAGTAAAAGCACACTTAGTCTTTGTTTTAGGATGACTTATTCTGTGAATTATTTTTAGAAGGCTTTAACCATAGCTAAGCATGGCGGCACATGCCTTTAATGCCTATAATCCCAGTACCTGGGAGACTGATGCAGGAAAATCGTGACACTGTCTAGGAGAGGGGTTGCAGAGGTGAGAGAAAGCATTGACCACATTCACAGCGGCAGGAAGAATCTTTACAAACATGCCTCGTGATACACATTAAACTCTCTTAGTCAGCCTGAAATATCTACTATTCTAAATATGCTTTCTACTTATAGTCTGTTCTCCTGAGTATTATGAAGGTTAATGACAGATACTGTAGGAAAGGTAGGTTCTTAACCCCCCTGCATTTAATGGATGTTTTCAACTTGGATACAATTATAAATATAACCTTCAAGTCTAAACGAACAAATGCCTTGATACAGCTAGCTTTGGACTAGAAATTATTTTAAATCCCCCTCTGCCCAGTGTTGGAGTTGAAAACTAGACTCAACACCTTAAACACTGGAGGACAAAATGACTTTGTATTCAAAAGCTGTGCGTGCTGACAGAGCTTTTTAGAGGACAAGGACAGAAAACCTCCTTTGAATAAATCTGTCACCCTGAAGGTCATGGTAGTGCTGCCAGTCAAAACAAGTCTATGAGTCCAACCTTGAATTCAAGAAAGGAGATTGTGATATGGGCTCATTAGTAAAGGATCAGTGGCAGGCTTAAATTCCTTTTTATTGCTTTTGTACATTTTATGTTTTAGTGCTTAAAATATATAGGCTAGGGCCAACAGGATGGATCAACAGGTGTACATAGCCTAGTGGCTAGAGTTTGGTCCCTTGATCCCAAATGACGGCAGGAGAAAAGTGGCCCCATAGAGTTGTCCTCTGGCATACATGCACCCACGTGCTCACTCACACATACACAACGAACTACCAATACCATAAAGAGACACCATGCAGAGCTCACTAGCTCTTCCCATCCACACCCTTTTCTTCCAGTCATGAAGTAGCTGTATGCCCAGTAACAGCACATATCCAGTCTCCCCTGCTGGTGAGATGTGAGAAGTGATATGTGTGCCTTCCAAGCCGGGTTGATGAAATCTCCCCCTTTGCTCCCTCCTCCTGTGAGCTGGAAGGAAAAAAGAAATTTCCCAGAGCACACCTGGAGCTTTGTGTTGAAGATGGCAGCTGTTCTGGGCCCCTTCAATACCCCAGGAACACAACCGTGTGCCCACCCCTTCCAGCTCCTTGAGTCTGGACTTCATGTTATATGAGTTACCCTAATCAGTGCAAAGGTCTCATTCACTGCAGCACACTGGTCATCACTCGTGCTGAGCATGAGGAGTGCAGTGGCTAATGGGATCCAGACAGACCTTGCCCTTATCACTTTCCTAGTTTGCCTGCCCCCAAACACACTTTGTCACAGTGTTTAGAGTACCTTTGTTTCTGTCCTAGGCCCTGAATAGGAAAGTTAAACATTAATTGCCAAAACACAGAATCCAAAAGCCAATGGATTCTTTCTGTATTTAATGGTACACAAAGGAAAGGAATCTTAGGTTTGTATATAAACAGGGCAAGATTTGTTTAAAATTCAGAACTTACTACCTGTTTTGGGGGGGGTTGTTTGTTTGTTTGTTTTAGATGGAAGGGAAGCTATAGCTCAAACACAAGGATGGCCCTGAGGAGAAACTGCTTAGATTTCTTGTGATATGGCCTTGATTCTTTTTTTTAATGGTGTTGGCTTATGAAGAAGTGGATTGTAGTGTGCTGTTTTCTCCATCTCCCTCCTTCCTTTTTTGCCCTCCCACTCCTGTAGCCTCCTTTCCACCTTGATGTAACATGAGATCTTTCACCCTTCCTCTCCACTGTCTTCAAACTCCTTGTCCTCCTCTTTCTACCTATTTCAAAATCTGTACCCACTCCCCTCACTCCGTACTTGTTAGAGACACAAACATTAAAAGCTAGGGTCCTCCTATGAAAGAGAAGATGCATTTGTGTCTTTCTGAGACTGGGTCACTTCGTGTAATGTAATCTTTTCAGTTCTGTCCATTTTGGGGCAAATTTCATGATTTTAGTTTTTGTGGACACACCACATTCTCATTACGCATTCCTCTGTTGATGGACATCTATGCTGGTGTCATTGCCTTGATGTAGCACTGAATAGTACATCAACAAAACAGGAGTGTGTAGGTGTCTCTATGGTAGGATATGGAGTGCTTTGGGTAAATATCTTGTGGTATAGCTGGGTCATATGATACTTCTATTTTTAATTCTTTGAGAAACTTCTAGACTGATTTCCATTGTGGTTTCACTAGTTTATACTCTCCTAGTAATAGATAAGAAATGCAAAAAACACCTCTTCTTTTTTTTTATGCAGGCAATTGAATCCAGGGCCTTGCTCTATTGCTGAGCTACATGCCAAGTCCATGAGATCACCTCTGGACCAAATTGCTTGATATTCAGACCGTTCTACTCATTATTGCCTATTGTTTACTCAAGGTCATATTAGCATTATATTCCATAACAGTAATAAATTAAGCTGGGTGTGAGGGCACACAACTGTATCCTAGCACTTTCAAGATGGAGGTATGAGAATCACCTCAAGGGCATCCTACATTACATGAGACTCTGTCTCAAGCAACAACAACAAAGACGGAAAAGAAAAGGATATTAAATGAGCAGTTACATCATTAGACTGTTACATCAGTTCTAAATAGATTCAAGATCATTCCCCTATTGTATTTCCAAACCATCGTGATTTTCTGGCAACCTGAGTTTTGCACTTTAGCCATAAAAGCTTTTTTAACTAATGTAGATGTTTCAGTCAACTATTTCCACAAGGCTGTCAGCTGTCTATGTTAGAGGGATGATAGGACCCAATATACCTTTATAATCATCATTTTAACAGAGTGTGTCCCTATCTATTTTCCCTGGTTTTTCTATTTTAAAGAAAGGAGGCTATGCTGTTGGATTTTTCTCTCCTTCCCTCATAGCAAACAACATTTGTTGTGTTACAGACCATGGAAAGTCTTAGTTGCATGCCATCGCTTGAAAGACCTGGACCTGAAGCTGTTGAACTGAGGTCCAATGGAAGGTAATCCTAGAATTTTCTTCTCACTCTGCTTTCAAGGCCATGAAAAGATTTCTTTCACTAAATACGGTATGAGGATTAAGTAGAAAGAAAGGCTTGTGTTTGGTCAGCACTGTTTATTCAAACAGAGTATTTGACATACAGACTCTATTATTATGGCTAATCATTACATCCATGTGTGGTTTTCTTATAGTTTTTTTTTTTTCTCTACATGCGTTGTTTTTAAGATATAATGTGTTGCCAGATGGCGGTGGCACACACCTTTAATCCCAGCACTCAGGAGGCAGAGGCAGGTGAATCTCTGAGCTTGAGGCCAGCCTGGTCTACAGACTAAGTTCCAAGACAACCAAGGCTACACAGAGAGATCCTGTCACGAAAAACCAAGATATATATTAGTATCAATTATTTGAAATTTTCATAAAATCTATTTTGATCATATTCAACTTCTCTCCTCCAACTTCTCCAAATCCACCCTTCTCCCTTACCTGACTTCATGCTCACCTTTTAAAATAAGACACACAAACTCAAATGTGTTGTCTAAATACTCTTGGGTATTGGAACTGCCCTGGAGTGTGCGTCACACCCTTAAATCAAACTGGCTCTTCCTTTCCTGGCAGCTATCAAATGTCAAGAGCACCTCAGCTAATGTTGGCAATCGTGCCCCCTCCACATGCACACCCTTGGTCCCCCACACAGCCCCCCCCAATGTTGGGATTTTGTCTGTGTTGAGCTTGTGCATGTAGTCATGAAAACGCTATGAGTCCTCATGTGTTGCTATACCTTATAGATTAGTGCATCTCTAGGCTGTCTGTTACATCTTACTTTTCTGTTCCTTTTGTTTTTGAATTTTATAAGAATTTGGTTTAGAGATACTCTGGCCACTTTTAAAAGAAGATTATAATATGAATAGATAAAAAGAGATTATAAAATAAATGACTATATATTTTTGTTGTTGCTGATAGCAAAGAAGATGAAAGAGGTGGCGGAGACACCCAGCATTATGAGGTAAGTAGCTAACGGAAGTGTAACCGGCGGGACCTTGCTCTTGTTCTTGAGAGAGCTTGGGAAATGGTACTAGTCTGTTGATTAGAAGTAATTGACAGGAATGTGATTAGGATGACGGGTAGACTGTCTTCTTATAAAAGGTAGTGATGCTTCCTGGGTTTTCTATAAAAGCAAAACAAAACTAAGTGAGTGGTTTGATGTTTCTCTGACTTGATGCATCTTTGAAGTGTATGAAACAGGTAAGTCACAAGGGTTGCCTCATTCGGTTTCAAATGAACATAAATTCAGATAAAGTTACTTACTGGAGTTCCTTTTGTTTCAGATTCAGTAAGATTCCCTAATGTCTGTATGCCCAAGTTTCGTTCATTTTCCTGCCTTTGCACATGCCATCTTGATGGCACCATACTGATTCAAGTACTCATTTTCTCCTGTGTCCATGTCTCATTCAATTTGGTGCCTGAATTTTAAAATCATGTATGTATATCGTATCTTCTAATTCTGAATGCTTCCAGATCCAGTGTCAATTTCAGTGTTTATAAAGAAAATTAAAGCTTTTCTCAAAATATTGTTAAATGTGGCTATATTAATAATATAGAGAGAATGGCCTCTGTAGCTGAGTAGTTCTTAATACTTGCTGAAGGCTGACCTAATTTATTAACAGAATTATTTAACAATGTCTATTAAATTCTGCATATTAAATTCATATATTCTATGCTAGGAATGGCTATTTAATGGCAGCCAGAGTCACTGCCCGCAGAGAGCTTTGAGTCTAGCAGACTAAGACTCTAAGAGCTGTACCAAGTGGAAGTAAATGGTATAGCTGAGTGGTAGAGAGAGTATCTAGCATGTACAATGCCCTAGACTTGATCTCTACCAGAAAAAAAAAGGAATATGAAAATTTAGTATCTCCCTCCTTAGAAAAGTGCACACTCACATGAAACCACTGTAAATTAATGGAACTACACACACACACACACACACACACACACACACACACACACGCACGCACATACACACAAAAGCTGTAGACTTCTTATATTTCTTCTACTCAGGTCTTGTTATGTAAGCTTCTTCACCAACCTAAATAGCGAGGTGTACATGGCTCATACCTGTATTCCCAGCACTCAGGAGGCTAATGCAGGAAGAATGATAGTCTGGCTACATAACAAAACTTGTCTCCTCTAAAAACAAGCTAGTTAGAGACTGTGCCATCTTCTTTTTTGATTTAAAGTTTCTGCTTCTGAGATAATTCCCTCATATCTTATTTTCAGCTCAAGTATCCACAGGATCAAAGCAAGAGGCTGACGTGCTTCCCTTGTCTCTAGGGACTGTGCCAATGAGCATGTCTCCTCTCTTTCCTGCCATCTTGCTTGACTCACAGGAAGCCCTTTGACACTGGGCATAAGCTTAAAGCCAGCCTCCTGGAGATGTCTTCTTATCTGTTCTGGGATGAAATGGAGTAGAACAGTGTTGTCAATGAACTTCATGATAGTAAATTATAATCCCAAGTGGCATGCAAATTCACAGTGGCCTTCCTATGTCTCTGGGTCACAGCACAATCTTTGGGGCAAATCTTAAATTCTTCTCCTAAGCGCCAGGTCCTCTTCTTACGTGTGTCATGCATATGTAACACCAATCAGCAACCAACTCTCTCCTGGAACTCTGTGGGCATTCACTATTAATCAACATCACCATAATGACACTTCAGACAGAAGAAGAAATTAGACGGTGAATTAAAACCAAGGTTAAGCTCTGTAAGTCACCTTCCATCATAGCTGCACCAATGGAGAAAAAGATACCACTTCACATAATTGGAATTATATCTTTTTGATGGGATATTTTATTGCTATTCATTAAAGAATGGGGGACTTGTTTTCCATTTTTAACATACTTTTCCTTGTTTCAGTATGCTGTGATTTCATATGTATCACTTCCTAAAACTTCTGAAACTGAAAGTCTACACTTGCTCCCCCTTTCTTGAGTTCTGGTTAACTATTATTTGTTTTGTTTCAAGTCTCCTTTAGCATCAGGTTGAGATGCCAGAATGTGTATGCCCACAATGAATTCATTTTGCAATTTCATTTTTCAGTAAAAATATTTTGTTACCACTAACACTGGCCTTGAAGAGTATTTTACATCAGGTGCTGGTGGCCCACACCTTTAATCCCAGCATTTGGGAGGCAGAGGCAGGCAGATCTCAGAGTCCAAGGCCTGCCTGGTCTATAGAGTGACAGCCAGACAGCCGGAGCTATACAAAGAAACCCATTTTGAAAAGCAAACAAACAAAAACAACAACAAATAAGAGGCTTTGTGAAAACTGTCAGCTCAATATGAGATTGGAAAGGTGTTTTTGTGACTAGAGTTCTGTCAGAATGAGGGACACTCACCCTCAGCCTCCAAGCTGCTCCTTATTGTAGGGACAGACAGGCAGACAGAAACTTGTAAGTCTGTTTCTTAATGTCAAAATGCAGACACAACAGTGATTTTGGCAGCTTTAAGTGTACCTTGTACCAAAGCCTATGTTGAAAATCATCATAACCTTGCACCTTTATTGCATGTCTTAAATCTTTATATTAATTATGTGACTAAACTTATCCAAAAGGAGGGTCTCTGGGAGTCCTAGATAAGTACCGATCACCAAGAGTTACACATCCCTTTCTTTTGGGGTTGGAATTAAAGTTTATTTAATTCCAACAATAAGAAAAAGTTGAGTCACTTCAAAATGCTACAAATGAAAGTAGAGTTTCTTCAGACAGGCCTTGGAGAGGTTGGCACGTTAATAAAATATCTCCCTTGGGCTGTATGAACGGAAGTGACTTACCAAAGAGGTGGTGAGTGTTTTATGACACATGAAGCCTAGAACACTTCTTCTTTCTTTCTGAAACTCATTGAAAATCACAGGTATCTGGAGGAGACATACCACTCATGTCCACCTTCTAAAATGTGTAACTGAGATACATTTTCAGACTTGTATTACTATGGGGGTGCCCTACATATTGGAGCCTTCTGTAAGCTAAGCATTTCTCTTTAAAGGTTTAGTTTTATCATTTTAATTCTACATCTGCATGTGGATATATTATGCCTGTGAGTGCAGATGCCCATGGAGGCCAGAGGCATCAGATCTCCCTAAGAGATGGAAATACAGGCAGCTGAGAAGTGCTTGGTGGGAATGCTGGGAACTGAACTTGGGGTCTCTGTAAGAATAGTAAGCACTCTTAAGCACTGAGCCATCTCTCCAGCCCCAAGCAAAGCAATTTTCTATTGTGAAAATGTTTCACTTCATATAAGACCTGAAATATTCAAACAATAAACTTATAATGAATCTCCTTGCCATGGAAGTAAGAGAAGCAAGAATTATTAACTGTAGAAGAGCAGTGCATTATGTGAAAGAGATAATTCTATTTCAGAATTCTAGGTCAATGAAATGTTAAATTCTTTCAAGACATTGTTGTGTTCTTTATGCCTTCTAAGCCCACCGATTAAGAGTGATTAGAATCATGCCTCTGATAACAAACAGGACATTCATCATAAAAGCCCATTTCCCCCCTTTTTGCCTCCTGCTTCAATAAAGTAAGTAAACAAAGGAAGGGAAAGAAAAAGAGGAGAAGGGAAAAATTTGAGGCGTGCCATGCAAGACTGAGAGTTGATTGTTCCACTATGTCAAGTCCAAGCTCTCTCTGACCCTGAGAAACAGGACAATCAGTGCTCACCACAAGCCACCGGAACTTGTGGCTCACACAAACCATGGGGATGTGTTGTGTCTACACTCCTTTATTATCAGCCAAACAGTAAATGCTGGTGGTTTCCTGTGGCCAGTTCATGCTGGCTTTTCCTGGGAAAGCTGCATCGTCCAGCAGCCTCTAGTGTTGTCGTTCCTCATCATACTAAGTCCTCAGCCACATACCCAAATCCTGCCCAGGGAAAGAGAAGGAATGGTGCATAAATTCTCCTATCACCAGAAGCCAAGGAAGGGGGCAGAGCAGAGAAAACAGACCAGGGGCAAGTTTCGACAATGATGAGAGGCTTGAGTTAACGGTCTGGACCTGTATATGCAATGTCACCTGAGACCCAGACGAGACAGGCTGTCTGTATTGGCTCTCTGGCAGCCTTCCCTTTCCCTTTGTCACTTCTGTGACACCAGCACTCAGACTTTCACTGTTTCTCTTTCACATGGAATTCTATGCCTTATGCACTTATGAATTCTGTTGCCCAGCATATGCTACCCATTGAATAAACATTTGCCAAATGAATGGGCACAGGAGTAGGGGGAGAAACAGAAATCTCTTTACCCTTACTGTGGGTGACCTGTTTGTATATGTTTTCCATTTGTTCCTAACCTTAAGATGCTCAGTCCAGTGTTAGAGAAAGGGAAGCTAAGGCTCAGAGAGGCTGGCTCCCAGGTCTTGACAAGACAGACCTGCTATTTAAACTCAAGTCTCTGCCACCAGAACCCACCCTTCTCTGCCTACTATATTGGATCTTTGATGAGCCACCCATTAGTCCATTAAGCAAAGATTCATGGTGTTTTCATGTGAGGCAGCATTTTGAGGTTCAATGTCTTCCACATCATAGCAGGAAGGATTTCTGAATTGAAAATTGTACGATTAATTTATTTTTGATTTAACCAAAGATAGTAGATATGTAAATAATGAAAGTTTAAACTAAAAATATTTTGATATTTGAGACTGCCCTGGACATTGTTAACCCTAATGATCAAAGGGGAGAAACAAATAGGCAGTGTTTGCCGTATCTATGGTAAGCTTTCCTGGAGAGTATGGACCACCTGGCCAGGTGTCTCCACCAAGGTACCCTTGGGAAGGAAGAACAGTTTCTCTTCTTGCGCATGGCTACAGAGCCTAAGCAGTCACTGAGTAGCAACACCATCACTGCCCACTCCTGTACAGCAGTCAATTGGGCAGCCCTAGGCCAGGAGAACCCATGAGCTTCCTAGACCAATTGGGCCAGGAATTGGGACTCAGGGTTCTAAGACAGATAAGCAAATAGGACATGTGAAACAACTCACCTCAGGGATGGATGGGAGCCCAGCAAGGCAGAGCCAAGGGGTGCATGCATTCCACTGAAGCAGAACATGCTTGCTGTTCTGTGTGTGTCCATGACCTCTCAAGCTGGGATAGGTGTAGGGAAGAGGGAAGCATTCACTGCTGTTCCAAGAATCAGCTTCAGTTAACCTAGATCTCACCATGCAGGATTCCTGCTCTGCATCAAGGGGCACCCACCCTGGTGACCTGTTCTTACTGGATCTCAGATGCGTGGCTGCTTGCTATTCCTAAACCACATAAAACCCAGCCAGGCCTCATTGAACAAAGTTCTACATGCTCACTTCCACCTTCCTGAAATGCTGTTCCCAGTGACAGCCCATGTCCCCACTTCCTTACAGGTGTATCATTATGGAAAAGAGGCCATCCCCGTTCACTCATTAGAAAGTAAGACATCTCATCCGCTGTCACTATCTTTCCTTGTTTTATCTCCTTAGAGCTAATGATGCTTTTTTATTTTTAATACTTTTAGTGACTTATTTATTTTTATTTTATGTGTAAGGGTATTTTGGCCCACACGTATGTCTGTGTACCACATGGTGAAGTACCTGTGGAGGCCAGAGAAGTTCAGATCCCCTTGAACTGGAGTTACAGACAGTGGGAGCCACCATGTAGATGCTGAGAATGCAACCTGGGTCCTTGACAAGAGCAGCAATGCTCTTAACCTCTGAGTTGGGCAACGCTTAATTATGCTGTGCTTAGCCCAGCATATGGGGCCTTTCAGCCTTGCCTCTGCTCCTGGCCCCTCTGTCCTCTGCCTTCCTCCTTAACAACCTTGGGGGTGGCACCTTGGAACCCCTTCTCTCACTTTGGCTATGCTTTGCTTGCTTTCATATTAGCCCACCTTTTTCTTCATGTGATGTGTCCCCTCTTCTACAGCTTTGCCTTCAACTGCTGCTGCTGATTGACGGCAAACACACTGATATCTGTTTCCTGATTTCTTTTTCATGATGCATAAGTGTGTCCCATCTCTTAATATAGTGTGTCTTACCTAAAACCCAGTCATACATGCTGTGTTTCCTAGTCCCCTTGGCATTTTCCTCAATAGTGTCTGCATGGTGTCTTATAACAACAGAAAGAATGGTGGCATCTGTCCAGCTGTCTCTTTTTCTGTTGTAGGCTTTAGGCTTTGCTTATAATATCTTAGATCATCACAGAACTTTACAAGACTGTTAAGATATACTTACTTACTACATACATGTTTCATTTCTCTGCCTTATACATCTATAGCCACACAAACTTACATGTTCACATACAACTTTTGACTGATTGTCCCTAAAATATCTAAAAGCTGAGTAACAGATTGAACCTTTCAACCCTGGTCCACTTAGGCTAAACTCAAGGAACAAATTATTTTTGTAATATGACTGTTTCCCAATAGACAGACAACATGCTTAGTCTGTCCTAGAGTGTAAGGTTGCCGTGTCGTTTCATGTGAGGCTGCTATTCGCCAAGACCTTGGTGGAGTTTTGTTTTGTTCCCAATGTGAAGAAAGTGCCTGTCTTCATGCTGCACTCAGTAGAAACAGAATAGTAAAAAGCAGTGAGTATTCCCCTGGTGATCTCAAAATGGGTCGGACAGCTACTAAAAGGAGCCAAAAGTCTTAAATAGCTCTTTATTTGAAGTTTAATAACATCTCCTACATTAGCGAATTCTCCTATGATTTCCAGATGTTCTTGGGTTTTCTTTTTCAATTAATAATAGGATAACTAAAAGTAAATGTTCATTTACCCCAAAGAAAATATTTTGTACAGATCTGTGCTACTTGAAAAGTACATTTTTGAGTAAAACTGTTGCAGTGCAGTCATTTGTGATTTCAAGAAAGTAGGAAGTACAAAGCAGCTTAATTTACAGTGTGCCAAGAGAACAAGCTAAATAGACAATTTTGATGCAAAAGAATCGATTTAAGTGCTATTTTAAACACATGCACAGAAGTGTTTAGCTTAAATATCTGCCTCCCACCAGATGTCCTAGCCAGGGGTAGGTGCTGCCAATGGCAGCTTCAGTATTCAAGGTAGGGGGAGAAATAGAAAAACAACTGACAATTGAATATTTGTAAAATAGAAATTACAAATCACCAACTTGCCAGCTCTTACTTTTTACTGGGAGGGGAAGATTGTTCTCCTTGTAATCTTGGCTTGTTTTCAGGGTCTAGTCCTCACTGCTAGCTGAGATGAAACACCAAACCAGTGCCATTAGAATTTTCGCAACAATGCTTTAATACCCAGAGCGCCTCCATAAATAGTCTGTTCTCCCCACACTCTGGAGAAAACAGCCCCATTTAATTGATCTAAGCCCAAGGGCTCAGAGGAGTATGGTGTCCCTAGTTTCTGCCCCTGCCCTTGCAGGAGTGTTTACCTAAGCGGCAAAGACAGTGCTTGCCAGACACACCATGTTGCCACCACCGCCTTAGCAGCCTTAGCAACTGCAGCCAGCTTTTTGTTGTTGTTTACCATGCAGTGGGCCATGCTCCTTTAAGAAACATAAACTCCTTTTCCTCCTTCCCGACCTCAGTCAGTAATCACTCAAGACCTGTCAGCTGCCTGAAGTCATCTGGAGGAGCAGCCTAAGGAAATCATCTTGCCTCTCCCCCCAAGAAGAAAAGTTAAAGCTGGCAGATGGACCGTGGCTTTTTGCATGAGAGTAGCCAGATAGTGCCCAGGGGGCATCAAGCCCTGGTTTTTATTTCTGCAATGGAAGTGTTAGCAGCTGTGGCTTGGGAGGTTACATTCAGAAGGCGTGGAATCGCTGCAAATGTTTTTGCATTTTGGTGAACAGCAGACATTAGGGGACATTGTGCTGTTATTGCAGAGCCCCACAATGAAGATTCAGGAGCACCCCAGTATATCCGACACCAAACAACAGAGGAATCAAGATGCCGATGATCAGCAGGAGAGCTTTGTCCCTGAAATGCCCCAGTTGGACCTGACAGCACTGTGTGATGAGAAGAACTGGGAAGGTAGGTGATCATCTGCCATTTGGGTGGTTTTGCACTGAAAAATCAATATGGATAAGCATATACAAGGCATGTGACAGCGTGCCTGTGAGGATGAGAGTTAAGAGCTATGCATGCAGAAGAAACTGGATTTCTATTTTAAAAAAATGACTGAAAATCCTTTACCAGGCAGCATAGGAACACACTGTGTTTAGTGTTGCCAAGGGTAGTTGCAACACAAGAAAGAAAAATAGGCATGCTCTTTGTCCTAGAGTCACCTTGCAGTATATTTTAACCCCCAAGCGTGCTGCCCCTGCTTGTGGTATGCTGCAGAAAGCCAGCCACACACTACCTCACCCGCTACCCCTTGTGCCTCAGCTACCTACCCCCTGCTACCTACCAGTCACCCAGCTACATCACTCACTTCCCACAGTAAACCTTCAGATTTATAAGGAAGATGTTTCTCTTTGCTTTTCTCCTACCTTTTAATGTACGCATTAAAAAGAAATCAGGTTAACACACTAGTCAGAACGCCGAATGAAAGTGCTTCTTTGCCGAAAGCCAAAGACACTTTGGCTTTTAGATGTTTTATTTTTTTTTTCCAGAGACTTCTGGTGAAACATTATAAATTTACTTTGAGGAAAAAGTTAGCTTTATCAAAACTATGTCAGAGAGAGCCCTCCAGCAGTTCTTTCATGCTGCCTTCTTTATCCCTGGTGAGTTTTTACACTCAAACCCGTGTCAGTGCTCTATACAGTGAGTTTCTGAAGGCCACAGCCAGGGAGAAATGGGTTCCTGGCTTCAGACCATCAACGTAACTTAATCTAATGACTTACAGAGTCACAACTATGAAAATCAGCCCCACTAGTGTTTGTATTCCCTGTGCCTGATCCAGAACCACTCCTCCTTTTACATCTAATGATCGAAAGTCCATCTGAAAAGCCCACATGGTGAAAGGTTGGCCTAGTTATTGTCTTGGCATGCAGGACTTTGTGAGAGAACAGACTGTTTTATTTCCATTTTCCCTCTTGTAATCTAAGAAACCCGTTCTGGTTATTTTCATACAATTAGGCAGCAGATCTGAAATTTTGTCACATCAACCCTGCTCAAAGTATTCGGAGAACAAAAGAGGGCATGGTTGATTTGCTTCATGTTAAATTTAACTAATCTATTTCTGGATATCAATTAGCTTATCGCTCATTTTTGCCCACTTTGAAATAATTGTATGTCTTTTTAATCTATAAATTCACAGCAACCTGCTTTCTCTACCCCCAAGAGTCTTAGAGTGGTCACTGTTGCCTAAGTAAAAGCAAAAACAAAAATATATAAATGTGTTTGAGTTTCAGTGATACAGTCTATCTTATAGCTCTTAAATAAAAAGAAATTGGAGCCAGAATTCAAATGAGTTACGGTCGCTTCCTGCTCCTCCCCTGAAATGGACTGCACTTGGTTTGATTATTTCTCTTGGTTAATCATAAATTTAAATTTCTCTCTCAACACACATAACATAAAGTAAAGCTGAACATGCCCTCCAGAGTGGTTAAAAGCCAATTTACAGTTTCTTAGAAACGATTCCATTACTTTAAAGAATTTTTCTGCAGAGAATAAAAATATAGACCAGCATCTTCTTTAGAAAGCTGGGCAGGATGTTTTCTAAAGGTTATTGGGAACTTTATAGGCTGCCTTGGGCAAATTGTGTTGGCAAATCGCTGCAACTATTCTTTTTTCCCATCACATTTGCATTTGTTGTTGAACTACTACACCTTTAAAATCTCCAGGGATTTATTTTTCAAGGTCATTTTGGCTATTTGGTTATTGCTCTCAGCAACCTTTTTTAAATTATGTATTTTGATTTCCAAATTGCTTTATAACAGGAATAAGGCCATACAGATAGTCAAAATAAAAGAACCAATGTGTAAAGCTAGATTGATTAAATGACAACAATAAATTTGATGACTAGACTATCGTCTTATTTATAACTTCAGTAAGAAATGCAAAGGTGTTTTTTCTAGTAGTAAATAACTTCACACAAATTTAAGTTGTGCACACAAAAGCAAGGCAACAATATACAAAGATGGAAGCAATGATCACCGTTAGAGACCAGTATCCACACTCAGCCACCAACACCCCCAAAGCCACTATCCAACACCCCCAAAGCCACTATCCAACACCCCCAACGCCACTATGTAGAGGGACACTCCGGATTTGTGTGCCTGGCCCCTGGCCTGTGGCATTGGTCACAGTCTGATGTGGAGCCAGGAAGGGTCAGCTGATTCAGGGTGGTATGAATGGCTGTGGTGGGAGCCCCTTCAGTGTGTGCCTGGGAAACTATGTTCTGTAAGTTCTAAAGTTTAGGATCAAGGGAACAATGAAAGAGATTGAATAGTAAATAGATTTCACAGGAGCCATTGAAAGTGAACATAGGATCCATCTCCTCCTTGTTGGCATGTAATCAACCATGCCTTCGAGTTTTAAGGAATGTTATATAATCTGCCATGCTGTTGTTCTTTTTGGTGTTAGGGTTTCAACTCTCCAAAGTTAGGTGGATACACAAATCAAAGGCACTGTTCTGATATTGAAAGGTAATTAGAGTTGTGTGATTAAAATATTTTTAAGTCCCATGTGTGCTGATTTACATGAGACGTGAACACACTGCTATCCTTTATTTGCCTGAAATTAGGCATATAGAGCACTTTGACCTGAGAATAGTAGCCCACAGTCATAATCACAATGTGAGGAGACTAGGGCAGCAGAATCACCACAACTTTGGGGCCAGCCTGTGTCACCGAGTAAGTCCCTATAGCACAGGCTGGCCTTAAATTCAAGTTCCTCCTACCTCAGCCTTCCAAGTGCTGGGATTACAGTTGTGCACCACCACAAACTGCTAACAGAACATTTTTTTAAAGGTCGGGGAATGCTTAAGTTTTCTCACTTATTATTTACAATGAACAAAAATTTTGGAGAGAAATTCTCTGAAAGTGTCATGAAGAAGGGCTGGTGAGATAGCTTAGTGGGTAAGGGCACTTGTCACCAAGTCTGATGACCTGAGTTCAGTCCCCAGAACTGACATTTGTAGAAGTAGAAAACCAACTCCCAAAAGTTGTCCTCTGTCCTCCATATATGCACCCCAGCACACGCCAACACAGTCAAAATCAATCCATCCATGCTTGCAGAAATGTATTTTAAATGAATCATGGAGAAGACAGTGATTGCTAAAGTTCTCCAGTTGAACCCTCCCATCATACAGTTAAGAAAGCCGAGCATCTCCTAACTTCTAGCTCATACCTAAGCCATGCTAATCAGACATCCCATCCAATAAGGAGGATAAGAAGCAAACCCATGGGTTTGAATCCTGGGTCTGCTGCTTGATCAGCTTTGTGGGCAAATTAGAAAATCGGTCTCCATTTGCCTTGATTCCATTGTCCTTAAATAGGTGTAGCAACAACAGCAAATAATAGTACATAATGAATATAATCATTGTTTAGCAAAGATTAAATGAGCTGATATCTGCTGTCCTCCACATCCTATGGGCATCATGTAAATATTACTGATTTTTCTCTTCCACAAATATCTGTAAATACACTTTTGGGGGAAAGTCAGCAAATACTTTGTATGAATTTCTCAGATAAATAATAATTTTTTATTATTTATAATAAAAATCAATAAAAACTAGGGCGCTCCATGTAGCCGCCCATTCACGCTAACTTCAATTCCTCTATTTGTAGTAAGCTAGATCCTGGATTGGGAAATGGTGCACTTGAAGAAAGAGCAGCTGGCCACCTGCTAGGGTCTTGATGATAGCTTTCCCTGAGGCGTGTGAGGAATAGAAGACAAGTAGGCTGTACATTAGTAACTGGTTAAGAAATTATGTGTAGCTGGTGGTGGTGACACACTCTTTTAATCCCAGCACTGGGGTGGCAGAGTCAGGCAGATTTCTGTGAGTTCGAGGCCAGCCTGTTCTACAGAGTGAGTTCTTAGACATCTAAGGCTAAACAGAAAATCCCTGTCTGGAAACAACAAACAAACAAACAAAAGAAACTATGTGTAAAAGCATTGTTCTTGTTGGTTGAAGTTGCACTATTTGTTCAATAATTTAAGCAAACCTACTGAGGACCTGCTTCTTAACTTTGCAAATAGAGGCAAAACAGATGCACGAACCTCATTTTAAGCCTGGGCTTGATAGAGCTGACTGCTAAGGTTTCTTATAAATCTGGTAGTTAGTTGCAAGACTTTTTGAACAATTTAGTAAGCCTACCATTTTAGAACACTAAAAAGAATTTATGGAAGTAAACCTCCCATTGTCTCAGATGTACAAGCATGTCTTTGAACAGCTGAGAAGAGAGCTATGTGACATTGTGCCAAGCACTAATGGCTCTAAATAACATAGTTGAAAAACAAGCACGAAAATATCATCTCCCTTAGTTTTGTCCAAATTTCTTATAAATAAGAAATTCCAATAGCTAGTTTATTTTATATAGCCAATGGCTCCAGCCAGACAACAGAGTGCAGCTGTTTCGATGCCCTGCCATTGCTCAGAGGTGAAGTCCTTCCTGGGATGGATTCATTTCCCTTCATGCCCCTGTGGACTGTGGTGTCTGAGTTAGGACTCCTTAGAACCTATTCTTATCACTTAGACAGCAGGAACACAGATTTTATATTTGTTATTTCTGTTGACCTGCGATGATGTCAAATGACGTGAATGCATGAATTTTTAATAAAAAGTGGCATGATTATATCTGGAGTTCATTGTGAGTGTACCAAAGCGATTTTTATTTGAAAATGAAAATGTGCTCATTTTATGTCCTGCTGTGGGAGAAGAATCCAGTGTGAAGCCTTGCATCTTTTCTGTTGTCCCTTTGAAAACTTTTCTTGTGATATCCTTGTTTCAATGTTCTAGAGTTACTAAGTCTAAAGTACTTGTCAAGCAGCTGTTAGAAATGGCTGGAGATACATCCTCAAAACTGGCTCTCTATAAAGCCATGTAATTGCACATACTATGCTCCACCCTACTCAGGCTAGTTTCCTGGCTTCCTAGTTGGGTGAATATTAGCAAATGTAAACTAGAATATTCCAGACTAAAATGTGGAACTGGCTGTATTGATTCTTTGGTGTATGAGATACACAATACATCAGTTTGTGACTTTCTTAAATGGGGGGGTCCTTTAAATTTGAGACTGTATAGAGGGAGAAAAGGAGGACACTCACATAAGTACAGAAATGGGGAACTCTCTACTTCAATTCCACCTGCAGACCAATGGTGCCATTCCTCTTTATCTTGTTAAATCTGAAATTCACAATGACTTTAAATCTCTAATCTTTCAATAATGGATTAACATACCGTACATATGTACTGTAGTGGGGAAATGCTAGGATTCCCTCAGCAGTCTTATTTCCTATCCAACACTGGTAATTCTAGGAAAGGATGTATTTGGATTCTCTGTTTGCTCATTTTTGCTTGTTTGTTTTCTTTGAAATGATTGCTCCAGGACAGAGACACAAAACAAAGCTGTGTTAAACAAGAGAATGGATAGATGGCCTCAGGTTAGCTGCTAAGCACCACTCTCAGTCTGTTTATAATGAATTCACGACCATAGAGATGAAATGGTTGAAGACTCAAAGATGTTTTCATTTTAGAAAATGTATCCTGCTGGATTAAAATTCAAATTGAGGGTGTCAGGATCAAAAGTAAGACCTTTCAAACTGTATTTCTTTTTCTTGATGAATAAAACCGCCAAAGTAACCAGCATGCTCTCATGCCAGTATCAACACCATACTTCGTTATATCAAAGCTTCATATCCCCCCAAAGCAGTTCTCCCTCCCCTCAAGTGTTTACCCCTCCGTGGAGAGGCTGTGGCCAGCTGCAGGACTGATTAGGCAGACTTAACCCTCTCCCAGTCTGCGCTGAGTTGATTTTTGTCTTAGGAAATAGAAGATGCAGCCTGGTGAGTTTAATAGTCTCATCTTCTGCAACTTAACACTGAAGTTTCCCCCAGAGATTCCCTTTTCCTGGCTCTCTCCTTTCCTGGTGCTTTGCTTCCTTTCGTTGGTAGAGCCACTCTGTCCTAAACCTGCTACTTAGCCGACACAGACTGGTGCTGTTAGTCCAAAGAATGAGATGTTTGTCTCCACGCTTAGCCACGTGCATTGCCTCAATAAGCAAGACTTTTTTCCCCCAGCCTTGAACATTTTTATTCTTTGAAGTAGTTATCTGTGTTGAAGATAACTTGAGTTCCTTTAAACTTTTAAACCTTGTTCGTTATGATTTAGTACTTTAGGTGAACCTGCTTGCCTTTCCTGTTTTGCTGTGATGTCTCCCTGAGTTTCAGGCAGCCATCACTGATTTTGTAGCAAGAGGACAGACCCACTCTTCCCACTGACTGGGGCTTGTGCTTAATTTCTTCAGATCCCAGTAGCCTTACCTCTCTGCAGCATTGGGTCAGTAGTTCTCAAACTTGACGACCATGGGGACACTTGAGGCATTTGGGCAGCTTGTGTGTGCACACTGGTGTGTATTCTTGTAGGTGTACATGTGTGTACATATTTGTCAGTCTGCTTGCCAGTCATGTCTGGACCCTCACTTAAATCCATTGTCTATAATATACCGGTGTGTGTCTTGATGCTGGTTACCTGCTTCCCTGGGTTACTTCACACATGTACCAGGGCTGAGAGGTTGTAAGAACTCAGTTAATCTGGCTCTGACATTCTAGGATTATAATCTTGTCTTTCTAGATACAAAGCTTAAGCATATCTATTCTATAGAGTTGTGTATGTCTTCAAGCTTTATAGTTGAAGGGGCAACTATGTGTTCTTTGACTTAGAAATCCCAGAATCTAAGGGCATGGCAAGTACTAACTAGCCTTATGGGGATCACCAATGGCAAGTGCATTTGAAGCTTTTAGTGAAGAGTATTATGCATGGAAAACAGCTTGCCATACAAAATCTACTTTGAAATCTTTTAGAGTTTTAAACCTTTTCTTAATATGTATTTATTTTGCCCGGGGCAGGGGGTGGTGATGCACCTGCACCTCAGTGAACGTATGGATCTTGGAGAACAACGTGGGGAGTTGATTCTCTCCTTCCACCATGGGGGCTCCAGGCATCAAATTCTGAAATTACAAGTGCAAAGCACAGGAAGAAGCATGCTAATCCTGTGTGCTAGGCAGAGGTACAGAGAGAAGCGTGTTAATCCATATACAATGACAGGGAGAAGCATGCTAATCCTGTGTGCTAGGCAGAGGTACAGAGAGAAGCGTGTTAATCCATATACAATGACAGGGAGAAGCATGCTAATCCTGTGTGCTAGGCAGAGGTACAGAGAGAAGCGTGTTAATCCATATACAATGACAGGGAGAAGCATGCTAATCCTGTGTGCTAGGCAGAGGTACAGAGAGAAGCGTGTTAATCCATATACAATGACAGGGAGAAGCATGCTAATCCTGTGTGCTAGGCAGAGGTACAGAGAGAAGCGTGTTAATCCATATACAATGACAGGGAGAAGCATGCTAATCCTGTGTGCTAGGCAGACAGGAACATGGATAACCATGCTAATCCAGACAGAGGTACAGAAAGAAGCATGTCAATCCCACGTACTATGCAGAGAAGCACAAGGAGAAGCATGCTAGTCCTTTGTACTAGACAGAGGCACAAGGAGAAGCATGTCGATCCTACGTGCTAGGCAAAGGCCCAGAGAAAAGGCTTACCAATTGACCCACACAGAGATCATGAATCCTGGCTAAGTAGGATCTCACATGTCTAACATGGCTCCTTAGTTGTCAGAATTGCTGTCGGGTATGTGCACCCTCTAGGATACTCATTGCTCTTTTGGTGGTGCTCCTGACTGAAAAGGTTTTACTCATTCATCTGTTGGGGAAATTGGAATTACACACAATTGGATATACATCTTACAGGCTGTTCTTCAGGGCAGCCCTAGCAAGTTCTGTTTTGAAAAGAAGTAAGAAAGGAGATAAAGGCAGGTGGTAGGTATGAGGTACAGAGGTGATCTCAGCTAGACAGAATGACTACTCTGGACCTTGTATCTGAAGTGAGAAGCCACTCAGAGGGTAGTAACCTAAAGCATCCAGGAAACCTGGGTAATGAAGCTCTCCAGAACAGTGTTCCTCTTAAACCATGTCTATTTTCCAGAGCCCATCCCTTCCTGGCATCAAGAGAATGTGGATTCTGATGAAGCTCGCCTCTCCCCACAGGCCGGGCGCCTGATTCACCAGCTTCTGGATGAAGACAGTGACCCCATGCTGTCCCCCAGATTCTATGCCTATGGGCAGAGCAGGCAGTACCTGGATGATACAGAAGTGCCTCCTTCTCCCCCCAATTCCCATTCTTTCATGAGGTATGTTCTCTGCTGTTGATGAGCAATTTCACCAGCCACATGGCATTAAAACAGATGGAATGGCTCGCTCATGGATGGCTAGCCCTTTTGTAGAAATGAAGCCAGGAACCTGTGGAGAGACACGCCTGAACTTCTCCATCCTAGTACACCAGCTGTGGCCCAACTGCAGATCTCATTTTTGTTTGTTTGTTTTTACAGATTTATTTATATTTTGTATACAGTTTTCTGCCTGGCTGTATGCCTGCAGGCCAGAAGAGGGCACCAGATCTCATTACATATGGCTGTGAGCCACCATGTGGTTCCTGGGAATTGAACTCAGTACCTCTGGAAGAGCAGCCAATGGTCTTAACCTCTGAGCCATCTGTCCAGTCCTAACATCACATTTTTAATTCCAATTAGTGCCTCCTTTCTAAAGTTCTGTCAAATTTAACATTTAGGCTTAGAGTCAGTTTCAGACTGCTCTAATAATGTAAGTGGAAGTGAGAGAAACACAGGCCTATTTAATGGTTGCCTATGAGGAAAGTCAGCAAAGGCACCCATCCACTGGTTTTGTCAAAGGGGAGAGGATGTTTTCACTCCTCTGTGCCATGTACTCTCATACCGCAAAGCCCCTCCCCATAACTACTGGTTGTCCACGGGGCTGCTAACCTGGGCCATGCTCTTTGCAGGCGGAGAAGCTCTTCCCTTGGGTCCTACGATGACGAGCAAGAGGACCTGACACCTGTGCAGCTCACCCGAAGGATCCAGACCCTTAAAAAGAAGATCCGAAAGTTTGAGGACAGGTTTGAAGAGGAGAGGAAATACAAAGTGAGTTCTCCAGGGAGAGGAGTGGCTCTCAACCTGTGGGTCACGACCCCCTTGGGGCACACATAGCAGATATTTACATCTTAATTTATAACAGTAGAAAATCCCAGTTATGAAGTAACAATGAAATAATTTTAATGGTTGGGGTCACCACTATGTGAGGAACTGTATTAAAATATCACAGCATTAGGAAGGCTGAAAACCACTGATTTAGAAGATAGCAGAAGCTGATAAAAAAAGGGAATTTTTATTTGTTGAGCTAAAATTTGATTCAAGATTATCTTCTACAGTTTCCTCCTTGTGGGCTCCTTCCCCTATCGGCCTGTCTTAGTTTCCCAAGCCAGTGGCAAGAGGGCATTTTTCATGGTGGTTGCAGTATAAGCCCACAAACTCCTTCACTTTCTGCTCCATGAGCCTCATAAGCTGAGACATACAAATAATAGAAAAGGGGATATGGACCTCACAGGAATCCATCCATGATCATAAAGATCCAGTATTTTGCCCTTAAGGAAACCTATAGGAGCATCAGAAATAAGCAGTAAAGTATTTACTCTAGACTTTCTTTTCTCAGCCCTCCCACAGTGATAAAGCTGCCAACCCAGAGGTTCTGAAGTGGACAAATGACTTGGCCAAATTCCGGAAACAGCTTAAAGGTTAGTGAAGTTTTGGACATACTGGCATAGCCTGGTGTGCAATAAACCACGAGCCAAATCCCTCGGGTCCTGCTGAGTGTCACCATTGGGGTATCGCAGGCCTGAAGACACGCCCCGGTTCTCCCAGTTCCTTATGGGACACCATCCCAAGACTGTTTAGAGTCTCAGATCAAACCAGACCAGGTAAGGTATGCATTCCTCCGCATGTCGTCATTTCCACACACTCTGCTACCAGGATGGTTTCACACCAGTACTTGGAAAACACCTGATTGATCTCAAGATGCACTTGCTGGAGTGTTAGACAGCATCTCATTAGAGATGAATTTGCAAAGGGCAAGGGCCCTTTCCCTCAAACAGCTTGCCGTATTTAGGGTCAAGTTACAGAAACAATTAAATGGAACAACTAAAATGGGGCGTGTAGACCAGATGAAAAACAGGGGTCAGGTTCTGATTTTCAATCAGCGCATCTATATGCACTAAGGGGAGGCATTGAAACTGTCCATTTCTGACATCAGAGCCCAAGCCTAGGTAGCCAACAATCAGATACTAAAAGCCAACACTTTCCCAGGAATTAGAGTTTGGAAAACATTTTTGAAGATCCAGGAAGAGTCTTTTAGTTTGGTTTATGTAATGACCCAAGGATTTTCTCTTCCTCTATAATTCAATACTCTCTGGGAAAAAAAGTTATGGCTAAGCAGTTATTGACATGACAGTTAAAGCAATCTGGGTTCAGCAAACCTCAGACTCATGTATCTCTGTTTCCAAATCGAACTGCCTAGAGTCAAAACTAAAGATCTCTGAAGAGGACCTCGCTCCTAAGACTCGGCAACGAAGCAACACACTCCCCAAGAGCTTTGGTTCCCAGCTAGAAAAAGAAGATGAGAAGAAGCAAGAACTGGTGGATAAAGCCATCAGGCCCAGTGTGGAAGCTACACTGGAATGTATTCAGAGGAAGCTCCAGGAGAAGAGAGTGGAGTCCAGCCGTCCTGAGGACATTAAGGTGTGATGCTGTTAGGGGAGCAGCCCATCCTAAGCCAGTTCAGCCAACACAGTAAGAGCACAGGTCATGCAGATTGGTGTTGATACCTTTGCCACACTTACCTCCTCAGTTCGTTTTCCCACCAGATATTCTCTCCTCTGCTCTCCCCTGGCATTACAACACTAAGCCCAGTGAAAGGGGGTGGGGTAGAAGGGATAGGGCGTGTCGCAGGAATCCCTACAAGGACAATGATACATTTTAAAACTTCCCATACAAGTACAGAATCATACAAAAGCTGTGATGTTTCACCTGTGGGTACCTTGGTTTCTGACTAACAATCGAAAGCAGATGGCTCTATTGACGCTATTGCAGAATAAACTTACTGAGGTTCTTAGATGGCTTGACTCACTAGTAGAAAGAGTATTTGAAAATCTTTAGAGATATGTAGCCTATAACTGCAGTTATTGCTGGATCCATTAAGCTCAGTTCATGTCTTCAGGGGGCCTTTCCTGCCATGTGGGTATTCCAGGCAGCTGATGACAACGATGCTATGCCCTCTGTGTTGGTGGTGGGAGGTCAAGAGGCTCTTACTCCTATGTGAGCTTTGGACAGGGCATTTTAACCCTTCCTTTAGATGAGCTTGACAAAAAAAAAAAAAGGTAGAATATGAACAAATGTTTTTCCCATGGTTCATTTCTTACTTCTATGCTTACACAGGATATGACAAAGGACCAGATTGCTAATGAGAAAGTAGCTCTGCAGAAAGCCCTTCTCTACTACGAAAGCATCCACGGGAGGCCGGTATGTGATGGACCAACCCTTCTCATGAGGGTCAAATGTCTGGTTTTGGAAAGTTTCTATAATTTAGTGCCATCCAGAAAATAGGGTCTCTAATGCATGCCTTTTCTTTTTTCTTTTTCTAAGTGTTTTGAAGGCTTAGCCAATAGAGTTCTTTCAGTTAGGTATTAGATCTTGAATTTAATTGAATTCCAACAAAAGTAGGTCTGCAACTAAACTCAAGTTGTTAGTATTCCACTGAAAGGGAAGCGAGGTAAAGGATATAGGGGAAAGCATAGCATGCATGAAATTGTAAAGTACGGAGACCTCCTGCCCAAGTCAGACCCAGTAAGCTGCAGATGACTCTAAGCTTCTACAGCCATACTATAAAGGGACTCATTTTGAATGATGTCTCATTAAATAGATACTCTGCACTGCAGGACACAGCCAGCATGTGTAAAGGATATCTGTCCATGTGTAGAACTCAAAGTGTGAAGTCCAAACTGTAACATTGCCTCGTTATCATATTAGAAAGCATCTGAGGTGGTTCATTATTTAGCAAGAGTATGTGGGATGTTTCTTGCTAGCTATAGGGAAGCCATAGTGAGGCAAGCTTCCGCTCTCTTCCTTGGGGGACTTAGACATGCTTGGTGCCCGCTACTATTCATAATCTTCTTTTCAGACAGTTGACAAGAAAAAAAATGCTATAACAACAGCAATTCCTACAGGCAGGTATGAGGAAGTTTAGATGCATGGATTTTTATGAAGCCCACAAACACAGGGCTCTTCCTCCACTTTTTCCTAACTACTAATCTAATGAAATAATGGAATTAATTTAATCATTTCTTCTAAATGGTGCTCTCTCTTCAATAAAGAAGCTTCCAGAATGACATAATAAATGCCCTTTTAAGCATGGCACAGTATTCAGCCAGCTTCTTCAGGGACCAGGCAAACCCTCTGCCACAGAAATATCCCTCCACTCATGGGTTTTGTGGGGTGAGGATTCTGGATGTTATTTACCCAATAGTTCACCTAATCCTTAGTGACTGGCACAAAACTTGTCACACAGTGATATCCACAAAAGGTATCCAGGCATGCTCCATTGCATTTTTAGTTCTCAATATAGATCAGGTTTTGTTGTTGTTTTGTTTTGTTTTGTTTTTTAATTCATTTTTCTGGACTGTTCCTGCGGTGGAAAAATACTAGCACTCTGGGATAATGTTCATGTTTCAGCCAAGTTTGGTTTCAGATTTTTTTAAGGCACTGAACCAAGTAGTAAGTGCTCCAGAGTTCAAAGATTGTGAAATTTTGTCCTTCTGTACTGGAGTATCCGGGCCCATGAGAGGCAGAAGTGAACTGTTGTGAGCAGAGAAGAGCCCCTTTGCCTCTCAAGCTCAGAACTCCAAGAATGGAGCTTGTGGCCACCAGGGGGCTTCTGTGACACTGTTTTTCCTTTGCATAGTTCTTTCCCTGCAAAGATTCTAGCTGGAATATTGACAGTTCTTCAAGGGCTTCCTAGGCCCTGCCTCCCACCTGAGTGAACAAGCACACAGCTGCACTCTAAGTGGATCAAACCTCACCGTTGGCTCACTGGTTTGTGTGGTAGAGGGTTTTTGTTGCTCTTGCTGTTGCTATTGCTGGTTTTAAATTCAAGATTTTTCATTCCATCTGCAAACAGTCCACAGTGCAAACACGGTGAGCATCAGAACTGTAGGAACTGAGCTTGGCAGAGACCCGGGGCTGCCTAAGTAACCTCTTGAACTCTTGGTACTTAGTTGATGATAGATCTCTGTTATGTGTTGTTGTGGAAGGAAAAAGAGATTATAGTGACACAGAGACATTTATACATATATTGACCTGTAAGCTCAAAACAGAGGATGGGAAATAGCAGCTTTAGGATTGCATAGTAAATGATGGTTCTCACTGCCACTGCAATCAAATGTTCTACACCCTCCAGCGCACTTGGCATGGGATGAGGAGAAGAGTCTACTCTTCTTGTCTGCCTGTTGTTAAGAATACAAAGTATTAGTTCTTTCTCTGGCCTTATTCCCTTTCAGATAGATCAAGATTCAAGCATCTCACAAGGTAGAGAACAAATTGTAGAACAATTATTAATGTCATTTATCTCTGATCCAGGTCTCTCTTCCTCTCTCTGAGACACATTTCTCCTCAGGAAAAAAAGCAAACTTCCCTTGTTAGATGGCCAATCTGAAAATCAAAGTAAACTTTTATTTCTTAAAATAAAGCACAAACATTATTTCCAATGCTAAGTTGTCATTCCAAGTCCCTTTTTTTCATAAAGTAGACATTCAGAACTTGTGGCTTTTTCTAAGTCTGCAGATTCCAATTTAACAGGCCATTGACCATCAAGATAATAGCCAAACAGTCATGTGCTCCACAGCTCTCAGCAAAGCTGTTTGCTTTAACTAAGCATGCTGTAGATGGACCATACAAAAGCAAGTGGGCCTATCATTTCCTGTGAGCTATTATTAAAGTGTGTCCTTTATAACAAGGGTGTTCAATGTCTTCAAAAGTGATGTCACAGAAAAATATAACAAGTAATTGAAGCCCTCTGTCTGCATATCACCATTCATAATAAATGTGCAGGGGGTAGAGAAGAGGTTGCTTGACCAGTGCTTCAGTCTTCTTCTTAATTCTTTCCCTCATTGGTATATTTTAACTCTGTGTTTTAAAATATGTTGACTAACACAGCATTGAGTATAGCCAATGTCTTAGTTAGGGCTTTTATTGCTGTAAAGAGACACCATGACCCAGCAACTCTTATAAAGAAAACATTTAATCAAGGTAGCTTGCTTACAGTTTCAGAGGTTCAGTCCATTATCATCACAGCAGGAAACATGGCAGCATGCAGGCAGACATGGTGCTGGAGCTGAGAGTACTAACTACATCTTGACTCAGAGGCAACAGGAAGTCAACTGACTGTCACACTGAGTGAAGCTTGAGAAAAGAGACCTCAAAGCCCACTCCCACAGTGACACACTTCCTCCAGCAAGGGTACACCTCCTAATAGTGCCTCTCCCAAGTTAAATTTTAAATTATGAGTTTATAACTAGCCTCTGGTTAGCCATTGTTTTGGATTTTCTGATCTTTACACAGACATCCTACTATTCTTAACTGATAAAAGAGTTGCTATTTTCTAAATTAATGGGGTCCATCGTGTAGCAGTTAAAAGAGTCCACAATCCCACTGTTAGATCTTGCTTCATTTGTGAATAGAGAGAAACCTAGCTGGGAATCAGTCATCCAGTTTTCATCTAAGCTCTGGAGCCTTGGGGAATCATTACCCTCTGCCATGCTCAGTTTTAGCCTCTAAAGAACAAGCTCTTTAGAGCTCTAAAGAACAAACTCTTAGAGCTTGCCTAGCTCTAAGATTCTCTGGCTCTAATTTTGTCTTTATCATCATAGTAAATGTCTCACTTGTTTTACCACTCACCTTTACACCCAGAGAACATTAGCCAAATGTTGCAGAAAAGTTTTATTTAAGGATAAGAGAAAACTCTCATACCATAAAAGCAGGCACATTGGGCTGTGCAAAATTTATGATTTCTACCCAGAATGTGCTTCTAGTTAAAAGTAAACGTTTATTGGATTAGTGTCTCCTCTGGGTTTTAAAACAGTACCTGACTCTTCCAGCATGATCAAAAGCAGGGTAGTGAATCAACAATGGAACCGTTTCCGTGTCACATTGAAGACAGAATGGGAATGCAGCTGTGTCCCTGATCTTACTGTTTGTTGTTTGTTTTGTTTGAAGACAGGGCCTCGCTATGTAGCCCTGGAACTTGCTGTGTGGACTAGGCTGGTCTTGAACTCACAGAGATTCCCCTGCCTGAGTGCTGGGAAAAGGGTGTGGGCCAACATGCCTGGTTCACTTTTACATTCTATCATAATTGTTCATGCATGTATCTCCTGGCTTACAATATAGCCTGTTGATTGTGGGGGCTTATGTTTTCATTTCCTGAGTAGCTATTTTAGTACTTCATCCAATGGAAACATTCTATATCTACCTGCAATGGTAGTGAATGACTATTTCAAGCCTATTTAGGTATGCCCAACACACAGGTATGCATGTGTTTCATTTGGTATCTCAATGGTCAATGAGGTAAAGTATATTTTTCGATTTGGTTGCTGGGCTTCTACATTCTATTGGTATTCTGTGCATGAGAAAACAAGAGTTTCTCAAAAAAAAAAAAAAAAAAAAAAGAGGTGGCGCACGCTTTTAATCCCAGCACTTGGAAGGCAGAGGCAGGCAGATCTCTGTGAGGTTGAGGACACCCTGGTCTCCAGAGAGAGTGCCATGATAGGCTCCAAAGCTACACAGAGAAACCTTGTCTCGAAAAAACCAAAAAAAAAGAGTTTCTCAGGTAGGAAATGGCATAAGAGATGCAGCTTTATCATGTCTCCCAGTCTTTGGAAGATTCAACTTTAAAGACACTTCTGGATTACGTAAATATGTTGTCCTATGTGGCTTTTGTATCTGTCTTTCTCAAGATGATCAACAGTAAATCACTTTGGGTAAATTTCACCAGCTAACAGGGCATTGCAAAACATTGTAAATTTCCTGCTGTTAGCAATAATAATAACAATATAATGATAATAATCTTTCATTTCACTTCTTTATCAGTTTTAAGGGTTGTTGAATGCTGCCAGGCTGTGCCATATGAAATGGAATTTTAAAATCAGTCACTTCATTAAATATGACCATCAGGACAGCAAGGCAGCTTGGGAGTCATTTCATATGAAATAGCAGATCTTACTGTTACCACCACACACCTATTACATGGGATAACCCTTGAGCTGTGACTGAGCCATGGCACATGAGTGAAGTTATGGTCTGTTCATCACACTCCTCAGCATATACCAAACACAATGGCCATCAGAATTCTCTGTGCATCACTCTCTGATGGGAAACTGAAGAGGTCAGTTCAGAAAATAGTTGATGACTCAAAATTACTTGAAGATGACTGTAGGCCAAACATACGTATGCTATCTCTTGAAAACCCTTTCTCCACCTTTAAAGACTTAGTTTCCATTTAAGTAGTAGAGCTGAATGGCTTTGCAGTGTGCAGAAACAGAGTTCTCACTAAGATGTATTTCTTACGAAAAAGAAAAACAACCCTAGCCAGTGTGGTGGCACACACCTTTAACTCTATCACTCAGGAGGCAGAGGCAGGTGGATCTCTGTGAGTTCGAGGCCAGTCTGGTCTACAAAGTGAACTCCAGGACAGCCAAGGCTGTTACACAGAGAAATCCTGTCTTGAAAAAGAACAAAACAAAACAAAATTGTAAAAGGGTTTGAAATTACAAGGCATTAAGTACAGGATTTGCTGTCTTAGGCTTTCTATTGCTGTGATTAACACCAGAACCAAAAGCAACTTAGGGAGGAAAGGGTTTATTTCATCTTATAATTTATAGTCTATCATGAAGGACAGTCAGGGCAAGAACTCAAGTAGAGCAGAACCTGGAGACAGGAGCTGATGCAGATGCCTTGGAGGAATGCTGCTTACTGGGTTGCTCATCCTGAACTTCCTCAGCCTGCTTTCTTATAGCACCAGGGACCACCTGCCTAGGGGGTGGTGTAGCCCACAATGAGTTGGCCCTCCCACATCAATCATCAGTCAAGAAAATGCACCACAGGCCAATCTGGTGAGGGCATTTTCTCAACTGAGGTCCTCTCTTCCCAAATGACTATGGTTTGTGTTAAGCTGACATAAAAGTAGCCATCACCCATGGTGATGTGGAGAACAGGCTCATTGTTTCAGGATGGGGCCCAAGGAAAGAGGGCTGTGCCAAGTTGGTTTCTGATCTGCAACTTCCAAACAAAGAAGAAAGCTCCTTCCTTGCAGAGGGAATCACAGAGAATTAGGCATGAGATAACCTAGTCTATTTCCGGAGTTTGTAGTACAGTGGGGAGGGGAGAAGTCACAAATGACGAAAGGGTTTCAAATCCTATACAGGGAAAGTGGACTGGATTTCTTCTTGTTGCGTAGATATTTTGAGCACTGTGCCAGATGAAGGAAATGAAGATGACTCATCCAATGGATTCCAGCAACAAAAGTTCCTTGAATACTCTCTGTCTGCCAGAATCATGCTTTTTAGAGGGAGCAGTTTCGCGTGCAAGAAATGCACCCAAATAAGTTGATTAGAGTTCCATGTGATAAGCATTATAAAAGAAACACTTGCCGTCTTCCTCGAACCTGCCAGATGATGCATCATTTGGAGATTTGGAACCTTGAGTTTCTTGAATATTTTTTACATTTAATTATCTATTGAGAGGAGGCACAACACCTCCTCAGAAGACAGCTCAGGGAGTCAGTCGGATCTCCTTCTATCGTGTGGGTTCTGGAGGCCAAGCTTAGGTCATCAGGCTTAGCAAATGTGCAACTTTACCTGCCGAGTCATTGTACATCATGGCTCCTTAAGGAGTTTTTTTTGTTTTGGTTTGGTTTTCTTTGGGGGGGCAAGAGGGATTAAATTTTATTTACTTATTTTTAATGCGTATGGGTAATTTGCCTTCGTGTATGTTTGTGCACCGTGTGCATGCATACCTGGAGCCCACAGAAACCAGAAGAGAGCATAGGGTCCCCCTGGAACTGGTTACAGATGAGTATGATCTGCTATATGTGTGCTGGGAATTGTACCTAGGTCCTCTGGAAGAGCAATTAGTGCTTTTAACCACTGAGCCATTCTCTACAGCCACCTCTAAAACTACAGTAGCAGTTTTAGAATTACCATAGTGGGCTAAGAACATAGCATGTTATTCAGGTCTAGAAAGTATGCTAGTGGGGTGGTTTCTGCTGATCTGAAGTATAAATCTGTGGTATTTTTATTTATTGACTAAATACTATTATCACTTTAAATACGTTTTGTAAATTGTATCATCTTTGGGCCACAAAAGTCCAAAGCATGCTGGGACAAAGGGCAGCATGACCTGCGAGCTGGCTTCTCACTTGTCCTGGTCTTGCTTTTCAGGTGACAAAGACTGAGCGTCAGATTATGAAGCCTCTGTATGATAGGTACCGACTGGTCAAACAGATCCTGTCCAGGGCCAGCACTGTCCCCATCATTGTGAGTGTATTCGTTCTCTTTCTGTGGGTATCCCTTTGCTATGCTAAGGGGGGCTCTCTTTGTTAGGTTTCAACTACTGCTGTGATGAACACATGACCAGAAAAGCAACTTGGGAAGAAAGGGTTTATTTTAGCTTATAGTTATATACTCCATCATGAAGGAAAGTCAGGGAAGGGACTCAAGGAAGGAACCTGGAGGCAGGAATTGATACATATTGGCTTATTTTCCATGGCCTAGTCAACCTGTTTTCTTATACAACCTAGGACCACCTGCCTAGGGGTAGTGCTTCCCACAGTGGGCTGGGCTCTCCCACATTAATCAAGAAAAGCCTCACAGATATGCTCCTGGCCAATCTAATAGGAGCTTTTTCTCAATTGAGACAGTTTCCTCTCAGGTGACCCTAGATTGTGCAAATTGACGAAAACTAACCAACAAGGGCCCTAACAATACTGCTGTTGTGAGTGTAACTCTCCCTTTCTATTGAAGGAACCCCACCTTTGCATATAGCATCCATCCTAACTGGCATTCTCATTAAATGTCAAACTGTAGTAATTGAACCAGCCATTTATATCCATGTCTTACCTTACAGACTTGATCATATATACTTTCCTCTGGCACTCATAGGGCCAACACCTAAACCCATTCTTTAGAGTACAAGAGGTAGGGACGGCCCTTCTCCAGGCATTTCATTCCAAAGAGTGCCTCTCTGGTTTCTGTCTGACATAGTCTCTCCACATTCACTGAGAGACCATTCTCTAAGAACGTGACTCAAGGAGGACCCTCTAAAGGGCTCCAATGAGAAGGTCCTTGATTTGTAGGTTATGGAGGTGGAGAGGAAGTGGATGGAGAGGGCTGGCAGAAGCTAGTGCTTGGGAAGCTGCCTACCATGGCCAGCGTCCTGAGATATAACTGGTGCTGGCTCCTGGGTTTGATCTTGTCAAGGGCGAGTAGCAGCTTATCTCTGGCTATGAGAAGTATTTTAACACTGACAACCTCTACCTCTCCTTAGCCAGCCTGGGAATCCCCTCCCCTGGTTAGATATTGTTGGGATATTAGTGCCTGTCCTGTCCATCTCTGGACAGGACATCCTGTCCATGCCTGATTCAGTGTCCTTGTCTGTTGTCACAACCTTGGCTTGAAAGCACTCTTAAAAGGCTTACTCTCTTTAGCTGCTACTATTATCTAGTGCTTCATTAAACCTTATTATTCATTTCGTTGTTTCTAGGCCTAGAGTTTGCGCTCACATTTCTTTCCATAGCTCTTGTTTTAATGAAATGGAGACAATCCAGAGACTCTGGGCAGGTGTGATCAAAGAGTGTTACTCTTCTGCAAATATCTTGCAGAATAAACCAATAAATAAAATGACTTAATATAAGGAGTCATTGTCTCTCCACAGTTACGAACACTTGGGTTCCTAAAGAGAGTGAATGTACAACAGAGAAGTTCAATGACCTTCATGTACTTGTTTGACCTTGAACTACTGTCCTTTGCTAATTACAGTTAGGTGTAGTTGCTGGTGTTAGGGAGGAAGGTATGGGGGTAAGTGCTTTTCTTGGGGGGGATTCCTGAGAGTTTGGTTTAAAAAGCATGTGCATTCTTACTCTACTCTTGTCTGATTCGTATTTGTGGGCTCCGAAGGGAGGAGCCGCTTGAAAAAGAACTTTGACTGTATTAGGTCTCTGGGGGGCTTTTGGTGGGAAGTGGTTATAAAATGTCATTAAAGTACAGTAGAGAATACTGGTATAATGGAATAGTCTGAGAGCTATACGGCAAGGAAAAGCTGTTCATAATATAACCTATTTGTTAATGCCTGTCACAGGGATCCCCCTCCAGCAAAAGGAGAAGCCCTTTGCTGCAGCCAATTATTGAGGGCGAAACTGCTTCCTTCTTCAAGGAGATAAAGGTGAAGATCTTGGTGCTAACACTACCCTGCTAACCCCACCTGAGTGACAGTCCTCTGGCAGTGCTTCTAAGTAGCATTCCCTACAAACCAGTAGCTACCTGAGCCAACTGTGAACATTCATGGCCTACTTTTACTATAGCCTTGCTGATTCCCTAAGTTTTCTTCCAGTCTCTTCTTTGTTAATTTGTTCTGTTTTGCTTTTACTTTGATCACAGAGGCTGTTTTGTTGCTCACCTTGTTTTTTGGGAGTTTTTTGTGTGTGTGTGTTTGAAATCATGGTTACTTTTTAGGATTTATTTAGGACCAAAGAAGAAAAGTAAACCCAAAGCAGAAATGAGTTTGAAGAGTCCTGCCTGTCATATTTTCATGACATTCTAAGGTGATAATGGTCACTTATTTCCTGTGGTTAGGGATGATTATCTCAGAATAATCTATTGAGGGTGATCAATTGAAAACTTCATTTCCTTGCTTGAGATAAGGAACCCCACACTACAATACCCAATTTTAGTGTATTAGGCAGACGGTGCTAGATAATCACATTACTAAATAGAACGGAATTATGAGTGCAGTACTGGAACATCAGGGCTAGTGTGCTATATTGTATCTTTAAAATTACAGCTATTTTCTTACAATACGCTTTGATATCAATGAAAGGCAACAAGCTTTGTCCATCTGGTAGTTTTGCAGATGAACTGAATCTTGGTAATTGAGCAAATTTTGATAGTTTGTATATGAAAATTAGTATGCTTTTCTTAGCAGCTTATAATAGACTTAATACCAGGTAAAAACATGCTCTTGAATACATGCAAGATGTGACACTTAGTAATTGCCTCATTAAATAAATGGTAGGTACCTTAATGATGCTCCTCTTGGACAATGACACTACCCATTCTGATTCTTTAGCAAAGTTTTAGAAGAATATTTTGTCTGTGGCTTATTGCCCGCTGACTCACATGGTCAAAATTACAAGTAATTTTCCAATGGTTACACTGCTTTTGTAAATACTGCTATCTTTTGGTTCATTTTTTCTAATCAGACATCATTATTAACGTGGTCTTGATAACATATAGTAGTTCTAATACAATTTACAATTTAGTGTGTTTGGAGATTAAAAAAAAAAAAGACCAAGTCTAGGAAGTTTGTTTAAAACTTATCTCTAGTTCTGGTTATACTTGCTTTTCAGAAGAAACCATCTTTATGAAATAGTACCAGCTCAAGTTATGAAGGTTCTGAAGACCTTCAGCTCACAATAGGCCCAGAGAATTTTCTTGTCCACTCCAGGAACCCTCTAAAACATGATGGAATAGGGTTCTCTTCTCAAGATAGACACTTTCAGGGCAGTGGAAGAATGAGGCTGTGTGTCCCCGTGAGATGAGTAGCAAGAGCAGCTAACACCTCACCTGTTTTCTAACCAGCTCTAATGGCAAAATGGAATCCAATTACATAGCATGTAATTTTAGAACGTGTTGTTTTGATAAATGTAAACTAATCACAGTGAAAAGTGATGTTTTGGTAGCTGATATGGCTCATTACATTCTACACACACACATTTAGCTTTGCCCCCTCCACCCGCACCCCAGTGGAAGGCCAGGGAAGACACATACGGCTTCTTCCCTTTAGAGCTCTTCACACATTTGGAGTCACATACCATTCCCTCCAATCCTGCTCCTTGCCTTACAAAACTTTTCTCCAAGCTCTTCTTACTGCTCCTTGTAGAATGTAGGTTTCAGACCCTTCTGTAGCCACTGGCTCTGCTGTAACACACAGGTCAGTTTATCTGGGCCTCCCTGGAGCTAGTTTTACCCTAGCTATGTTTTAGCCAGGACAGTAGCTGATGCCAGACAGTAGCTGATTCTCCAAAGCGTGTCTCTTGTATACTTATCAATCTATCACCAGCTCATTTTAGACATTCACTGGTCAAATTCTCAGCCCCGGATGAGGATAACTGCTGTGGGAAGTTTCCTGCCACTCCTGGTCTCCACCCACAAATTGCTACCATCCCCTCTCTAGTTGTGACAGCCAAAAATGTCTCTAGGTATTGCAAATACCTAGGGGATATAATCGCACCATTGAGACTTACTGTCCGTGACCAACCTCTCTGTGATTCCCATTGTGCTGAGGGGTCCTGTGATCCCATGATGCTTGTCTGTGGATTTCTTACTGGCTACGTATCCAGATTTTCCTTTTCCTAACCTACTTCTAGAACCATGAACTTTCCAGCTGCTTTTTATACTGTCTTAAAGCTATATGAAGTAAACTAAATATAGATTCTGTACTCTAGAAAACCAGGTGTCCCTATCCACTCTGTCACTGATGGATGCATGTGGGAACTGCACCCTTTATGTCACCCTCTAAGTAACTAATAGTTGTTGACCGGTGGTTTCAGACGAAGAGCCTGCTATGGACTTTCCCCTTCAGATTCATGTCACTCTTGTAGCGTCTTCGCTGAAACTTTGACAGTCACTGTTCCTTTTGATAGATCTATGTACCTTGTTCTTTATCAAAATCCGGATATCACATCAGTACTATCAAAAAAAAAAAAAAAGGAAAACTGGTTTAAATGAACCAGTGCTAGCGGATAGATCACTGGGTTCTTTCCCCAAATATGCATGATTAGGAGACTGTACTAAGTATGCATCATTTATGAGCTCATTTCAACATCTATTTTTTGGTATGTAATTTTCCCCATGGTTTTCCAAGGCCACTGGGAGTAGTTTTGTTAGGTTCCTCTGACAAAATATCAGAGTGTTTCAAATTTTCTCCAGACTTTAGAATATAATTAGGAGGACTTTTGAGATTTTATTTACTTTTATTTTATGTATATGAGTGTTTACCTGAATATGTATGTCTGTGCTCTGTCTCTCTGTCTCTCTGTCTCTCTGTCTCTCTGTCTCTCTGTCTTCTCTCTGTGTGTGTGTGTGTGTGTGTGTGTGTGTGTGTGTGATTTTTAGAGGCCAGAGGAAGACAAAGGATATCCTATGACAGAAGTTACAGACTACAGACAGTTGTGAACTGAGATATGGGTACTAGGAATTGAACCCAGGTCTTCTGGAAAAACAACCAGTGCTCTTGACCACAGAGCCATCTCTCCAGCCCATTAATAGTAGAACTTTAGGGAGATGAAATCTTGCATTCTTATTTGTTGCTTTCCTTGGTATCCCTTTCCAGCTGTAAAATGCTCGCTTACAGCTTTCTGTTAAATCTGAACTGACAGACGGTTCACCAGACATTTGTTCTACACAGTTTCTGGCCAAGCTCTGAAGCAGCAGTGTACAGGCCCAAGTGCTGCCTGGGCTTTTGGCTCTGTTCTCCTTCATCTTCCTCATCCAGGGGAGGTGGAGGAGGAGAGGGAGGCTCACGGGTCTTGCCTGCCAGCTGTGCCTCACCAGGTTCTGGGCATATGCTGCCTCAGTTAAGTTTTGTAAAACTGGCATGGGGGGAGCTGTTACTTCCACTTACCAAAAGAAAGGTTAAAATTGTTCATTTAAAAATCAAGTGTTGCCTGGAGTTGCAAAACAATTAAAATAGAAATGAATAGTGAAGCATTGTTTCCTTGGGCCAAGCAGAGACTAAAGACAAAGCATAGCTGAGGTAGGAAGTGCCTCCTGGCTTGATCCAGCTTTGCCTTCCACAGTTAGTCTTGGTGCCACCGTTTTAATTAAAAATAGAGGAGAAACCATGTGAATGTGGCTGGTTAGGTGATTTCTGAGTGAAACTTGTAAAAGTAATGGATGTGTCCTCCAAAACATGCTCTGAGTTTTATTGAGATTGCCACATTTCTCCAGGAACAAGAGGAGGGGTCTGAAGATGACAGCTCCACGAAGCCTGACTTCACTGTCACTCTGAAAACAGACTGCAGCGCACAATGCTTTCTGGACCAACTTGAAGATGATGCTGATGGATTTATTTCACCAATGGATGACAAAATGCCATCAAAATGCAGCCAGGACTCAGGCCTTTCAAACCTCCACTCTGCTTCAATGTATGTTGTTTGGTGCAGTGGTAATAAAGTGGCTTAGTGCAAATAATAGCATAAATGTTAGTTTGGCCAAAAAGTCACAAATGATTTACCTGGGGTGTATGTAAATAGAGAAGATAATGATTTAAAATAAAGAGATGGGCCTGGTGCCTAAAGCACAAGGGTAAATGAGTTTGAGGCAAGCCTGGGCTACAGAGAGAATTCCTGGTCAGCTCAGAGCTGCAGAGTACAACCTCACCTAGAAAGAGGGAGTGGAGGGTGGGAGGGAGAGAGAGAAGAGGAGGAGGGAGGGAGGGAGAGATGGAAAGGGAGAAGTTTTTGCATATATGTTATCCCAGATTGCTTGAACAAGCAGAAGATCTGGGAATGACACTGTGTCTCTGTCCACCACAGTTCATCATTTAACCGGGTACAGGCATCACTTTGACACACACACACACACACACACACACACACACACACACACACACACACACGCACTGTAGGGTTTCATAAGATCTAATACTTCATGAGTAGCAAGATCCCCTAGGTGAGGCCCCTAGAGCCTCACCTTCTTTCAGAATGAGAAAGCACCCACAATGACTTTTAAATTGCTTTGTTTCTTTCTTCACAGCTCCTATCCAATCACATGCTCAATACATGTATAACAACTCATCTTTAATTTTTTTTTTTAATTTATCCTTCTTAGACCCGAACTCTTGGAATACCTTCAGGAAATGAGAGAAGAAAAGAAAATGATTCGAAAGAAACTTCATGATTTTGAGGACAATTTTTTCAGACAAAACGGGAGGTATGTGTGTGTCTCTCTCTATCCTTCCTTTCCCCATCACCCTGTCCAGATTCCAGGCCCTCTGTTTCTGTCCCATCTGTGGAGTGTTTCCAAAGTGGGCACTTTGCTACATTCTCCCTGTAACCAAGTCCTCAGGTTTATGCCAAGGACCCTCAAAGATAACCAGGGAGACTTGATTGAGACTTGAAGAAGTGCTTCTCAAACAGAGGGCAGGACCTGCACAGAGTCTGCTGATACGCAAAACTAGCCTGTCAAATTTGGTTCTCAGCTAAAACAAGTACTTTGGAGCTGAATTGCACATTGACAGCATTGAGTTTGTTTTTCTCAGGAAACAAGAGGGAGAAAAATGATAATGGGATTTAACCATGGTATGAAATCCTAAGTTGGACTGGTGATATGCCTCAGTTTGTACAAAGTGCTGGGTTCACTCAGGACTACAAAAACTAAAAGAACTAAGACCATAGTTGCCATGTTTTAATGAAGGCTGCGTGTGAGAAACGGTTATGAATGTATCTGCCAGGTAAATGTGTTGTTTTATCCAATGAGTTTTAAGGGTAATTGAATTGTCTGTTTATTAAATTTGCCAGGGAAGTGTTTGTCACAATGCCCTCCTCACATCACATCAGGAGCTCAGGGACAAGACCAGGAGTAGCTCTGTGTCTCTCACGTGGAATTAGTTTCACCATCATAGATTGGTTTTACATTAATCCAAATTGGGTAAATTATATGTAGTTTCTTTGAAGTACTTTCATGTCCTAGAGTGTGAAGAAATAAAATAATTATAACAATTAACTTTTGACACTGGGGCTGTATTATATCCCAGTGCAGTTTAAACATTACATAAATTTATTTTTAGGATCTCTAAATTGCATCTACTGTATAATTATTTTTCTCAAGACTTTTCCAGTTTTATACCTAAATGTTTGTCTTTCCCCTATATTATAGACTGTTTAGAATATGGATAAACAGACAAAAGAAGTAATTCCTAAAATAATAATAATAATAACTAACGTAAGTCAATTCAATATTAATTGTTAAAGTGTTAATTTGATGAAAATATGCCTTTCATTTTCCCATTATTCTTCTCATGTGTTGTGCATAGAATTCTACACATGAACTATATATTGTGGAGCCCACAAAAGTTTTAAGAAAGTATAAATTGCATTGGTGCCACATTGATGGGGAAAAGGCTATTTGTCTTGGAGTAGATTAAACCAAGAGTGAGCCAGATTTGACTTCTCCACTTCTCCCCTAGTGTCTTCCCTCTGTCCCTAATAAAGGGCTTTCTTCTTTATTGAATAGCACATAAAAATATGGCTTGAGAAGGGGATGAGGAATCACTGGTCTTAATTTTTTCACCAGAGTTTACAAGAGAAGAATTTACTTTATGAACCATAATGACCCAGAATAGCACTCTAATCCACAAACAAATGTTGTCAACCTATGTTTGCATATTGCTGCCAACATTTATGGTAGATACTTGTTTTTCTTAAGTTTGCTTTCAACCTATTGACTGCTTCAGGAAATGATTCCCAACACACACACACACACACACACACACACACACACACACACACACACACACACAAACACACACACTGTTCTGAGTTTGGATGGAAAATTCATAATTTAAGATTAAATCTATGTCTTTAGTTTATCTGGTGAAAGCTGCTTATGTGGGAAGTTCAGGGCATAGTTAGATTGGTTACATTGTTTTCCTAAGAGGAAGATAAACAAACAGGCTGAATTCACAGTAGGGAAACAGATTGAGTACAGAGTTTTAAATGATCTCCGGCACACCATTAACTTGGTTGCAAATCTGACAAAAGTTCAATTTCTGAAGGCCAGAGACATTTTTAGAGAGAGCTATTTCCACAATGGATGGTAGAAATTGACTCCATCGTCACTCCAGCTTGAAGCTCTGCGTGCCTAATGATATCATAACATCTTGCCTATTTCATGTCTCAAGAGTGAGAAACCCTCCATGATGGTGACTGGGTGGCAGATATTCATCTTAGTCCTCTATCGATTCCTTCTGCTCAGGAACCATTTAGAATCCTTCACCAAAGCAAGGCAGACAAGAATAAAATCAGCTTCATTTGTTAATGAAGGCTCCTTCTGTCCTCTTTGCCTATTTTTACTCTGTAATGAAGTGAAAAGGAATCACGGGTGGTTGAATGCTTGTTGTGTATATTTCATAGTGACTGCTATGTTGGAGCAGTCACGCTTCCAGGAATGTCATGCCCTGTCCTGACTACAACATACAAGAATGTAGACAGTAGCTCCTTTTGGTCAAGTTGTTCTGAGAGTTGCATTAGATCATGGATATAAATACTGTGTTGGACCTCAGAGTAAGCTTTAAGCCCATACTAGTGCATATAATTTGCATATAAAATTACCTAGTAAACTGCAAAGACTTACTTAGCACTACATGCTGAATTCCGAAAGCAAGTCTCTAAGTAGGAATATTAACTGTTCATATTCATCCATAATTCCAGTTGTAGGGGGATCCAGCTTCCTCTCCGGGCCTCTGTGAGTACTGCACATGCCAGTAGTACACGGCAAAAACATTCATGCATATAAAATAAAAATAAATAAACCTTAAAAAAGAGAAACGTAACAGCTCATTAGATCAAAGATATAAAATGAGAAAGTATTAAGAATCGTGTATAGTCTTATGCCAACTCAATACAAGCTAGAGCCACTTGAGAAGAGAGAACCTCAGATGAGAAATGCCCCTATCCGGCCCCTAAGCAAGCCTGTAGTGCATGTCCTTGATTGATTATTGGTACGCCTGGACCAATATGGACATGGTGCCACGGGGCTGGTGATCTTGGGTGTTATAAGAAAAAATCAAGTTGAGCAATCCATGAGGAGCAAGCCAATAAGCCGCAGTCCTCCATGTGGGCCTCTTCTTCCTTTCCTGCCTCTAGATTCCTGCATTTAGTTCCTACCTGACTTCCCTTCATGATGGGCTGGATAACACCTTTCCTTGTCAAGTTGCTTTTGGTCATGGTGTTTTATCACAGCAATAGAAACTCTAAGAAAGTAAAGAATGAATAAAATATTTCTGTTTGCCAGGCACACATTTAATCCTAGTACTTGAGAGGCAGAGGCAGGTAGATCTCTGTGAGGTCAAGAGCAAGTTCCAGGACAGCTAGGGATGTTACACAAAGAAACACTGTCTTGAAAAACAAAAACAAAAAACAAACAAAAATCTGTTTATTCTGATTAAACTATTACTGTGAAATCATACTTAATAATCAGTAGAAAATTCCTGCATGCCTTAGTTGTTTATGATCTTCTATTAGATCCTAGATTGACTTCATAGACCCTCAAGTTCAGTGGTACCTCCAGAGAAAAAACACTTTTCACTTGTCTAAATCCAGCCCATCTCGATACCAAGACCCAATCACCAACAGTGACTCTGCAGGTTGACAGAATATGTAGTTTCCAAATGCTAATTCCTGATGCATGCTGTCCTGTAAAACAGGTAGAAAGTGATCCTCAACCCCTCTTTCCTTTGTTTCCTCCAGAAATGTCCAGAAGGAAGACCGTACTCCAATGGCCGAGGAATACAATGAATACAAGCACATAAAGGCAAAGCTACGGCTGCTGGAGGTGCTTATCAGCAAAAGAGACACGGACTCCAAGTCCATGTGAAGGACTGGCAGTGCGGATGACAGCTTTCCCAGGAAAGATAGCTCTGGAAGGCAGCCTTGGAGCTGTGTCTACAAAGCAGGCAATCTCCTGCCTGTGAGCCATCAGATTGGCTCCTGCTTCCATTGCCTGCCTTAGAAACTGCCTGCATGGAAGGTGACACAGTGTGACCTGACTTAGGGATTTTACAATGGGAGAGTCAAGACTCCTACGCATGTCAACACACACTGCAGTAGGAACTTCACTGACATGAGCAGTGATAAGACACCACCATCAGACACCCCCATCTGCAGATAACTTCTTCCCTGACAACTGAGAAACACGAGGCCATTCTAAAACTGTGACAAACACAAGCTCAGGACTTCCCTCGCAGAGCCTGCTTGTTGTGGGGGTCTGTGTTCTCCCTGGCCCCACTACAAGGTGACCATGCATTGCATTGGCATACCATTTTGCTGCCTTGGCCGTTCCCCCAGGCTGTACCTATTCACTCCCATCAATCCATTTCCCGTTAGCTCTCAGGTAGATGGAAGCTGTACCTGCCTGAGGTGGCAGGGCAGTCCTTTCGTTGATGCTCTCTCTCAGCTGACAGACTTTAAGTCCCTGCCTCAGACTTGTGTATGCTGAGGACAGCACAACTACAGAAGTAGCTATGCAGATGCTCTTTTAAAATCAGGTGACAGCTGAAGAGCCCGAAAACTCTTCAAGACACTGACTGCACTTTCTAGTCTCAGACATTTGATGTTGAACACAAAATGAGGCCAGTGTTCCTATGATAACCTGTTTGGGGCTCAATTTTGTTCTTGCACTAGCCAAACAAAGAGGTCTTGCTTCATTTTTAGACTAGGTATATATAGACTAGCACAGGAGAGAGGAGTCTGTATCAGGCTCCTGGACTTCCCAGAGTTTAATTTTTCTACGAAAGTAAACCTGCACTAAAATCCCTAAATGGATGGATAAGAAGATGTAGCCCTCGGAGCTCAGCTCATTTTCAAGGCAGAATCTAGATCACAGTTTTCAAGATGATACATGGACAAAATGGTATGTGGCCAATTTTGATGCTCTTTTTTCCCCCCACAGTCTATGTCACAAAGCTGTCTATATTAGACATTTTGGAGGGACCAGGGAACTTAAAACATCCAATCATTCATCTCCTCTGTGTGCTTGCTGTCACTCAATGATATGTTCTTTCTTTTCATCTACTGTGTCTGTCTGAAGAATGCAGGCTTGGTTTTGCAGGCACCTGCATGAGATGTGTGGCAGCCTTGCCTCTGGAAGACTGCAGCATAGGCTGGGCAGGCAAGCAGGGAGACCTTGTTCTGTTTCGAGAGTCGCCTTCTACAGGGTACAGTGTTAAGGAGGAGAATGGAAAATTTTATCACCAGTTGCAATGCTAAAACCGGTCTGGGGTTCTCCAGTCAAGACGATTTTCAGCACTGCTTTCCTCACTGTAGCTCTGTCATCCGGGGACTCTCTCAGTAATGGGGGTGGGGTGGAGAATTCCTTCCTTCAGTTTTCCTTTTACGAATAATCACATAGAAGCATGAGCTATGTGTTGGATATACTCTGTTCTTTTCCACACAATTAAAGATGGTACATAATCCTACAAACTTCAGTATACATAAAAATGTAGTTTGATGTTCTTTGCTCTGCTGTTTACATTTGCTATGATTTCCAGAAGCTATATTAGAAATAAAATTACGTAATGTAGGATGATTTTCTATTTTTGAAGGCTGAACATCAATCATTCACGTGACCAAAAAATTGTATTTTTAAAAAGAAATCCATATCTCGTCTGTAATTTTTAAATACTTATTCTCCTAAGTAAACTGTTGAATAACTCAAATCAGTACCAGTGAGCGTTTAAAGCACATGGGCTCAGAAGGATTGTTTTGAAAAAAAAAATACACTAGAGATTTTTTTAAAGATGCATATAAATGACAAGCTACTAGATGTTTTGAAATCCATTGTTTGCGCCAAAGGTAAATGAACTAAAAGACTTATCAGGGCTCCCACTCAGTTTTATGTGATCAATAAAATACCAAGTTATTGGAAAATAAATCATGTATGGAATATCATGGTTTCCTTCATAATTTCTAATCTGTTTTCCCCATAAAATGGAGCCTGAACAAAGGCGGAAGCTGTGCTTATATAAGGTCGTCTCTGCAGGCATATTACTCAGCGGTTTCTGGCTCTGCTAGAAGTGTGGGGGAAAATTGGTTTCCATGGAAACTGTCTCTGCTGCTCTGTGGCTCTGCGGCTCTGTGGCTCCAAGCACCAGAAGCAGCATCTTAATTGGCTTCACACAAACAAAAATGCTGTAGGCTAGGGATTCTCTTTGCTCTTTTGGGAACAGGCATGCATATTAGTGCATAGCAACAAAAATATCAAGTGTTATGTAAGAATAAGCTTGACTATATGATCATGAGGACCAGGGGGGTGGCAAAGGCATGTAATGTTCGCAAATACTTGCTTTTTTGTGTACAGTCTGCAGTAAACAGGGAAGTGGGTTTTACTAGTTATGCTGTCATTACAGCATTTCATCTTTACTTTTTAAGACATGGTGGTACAATGTTTCAGATAAAGGTTTGCTTTGATGTTCTAAAAACTTTTGTAGATGTTTTGGCACAAGCTTAGTGGTCTCCATGAAAGAGCAAGTCAGATTTCAAATAAAAAAGCTAGGGTTTTTGTTTTGTTTTGTTTTTTATTGCTAGTCTCCACTGTGAATACTAGGTTTCTCCCCCTTGGTTGCGGCTTTGAGTCAAAAGATTATTATTCACTACAGAGTTGCTATCAGTCATGACTGTAGCAGAGAGCAATTTTCACTTTGTTTCTTTCTGATACAACACTTACACAGCAGGAAAAGCCTCCTGCAGGCTGGGTCTGCTCTCCTCACCTAGACCAGGACCAATTCAGCCAGTTTGTGCCTGTTTCCAAAACACATCAGGAAATGTCCTGGGGCCTCCAGTCTTAGAACCCTGAGGGCTGACTAAACTGTGAGCTGGTTGAGCTTGGAATTTGTTGTGAGGTAAAGACTCAGAAGGAAAGAACAAAAATGGTTACCATACCCTTTAGTCTGTCTGTGGCCTTCCGTAAAGAAAACAGGGTGTAGCAGCCATCACATATTTACAAGGAATGTCACGTATTTAAATTTGATTTTCAAGCCAGACCTAAACTCAAGTAAGATGGTATTTTCCTGCTGCTGACCATATGTGTGCCACAGAAGGCTCTGAGAAAAGCTAATTAAAGTCTAAGTTTTGTTTGTTTTCATCAATGTTTTTCCCAACACTTGCATTGCATCCCAAATTCTCTTCCCCTGGTATAGCAAGGTGGACTCTGTGCTGAGATCAGTGCCATGTGGTGAAGGGACCAGCTCCCCATTTCAGCAGCCATAACAGCCGAACACATGCTTGTCTGACCTTGCCTTAGTCACTAAGAGGTCAGATGCCTGCCTCGTGGCAAGGAACCAATCAGAAGTTAGCTGGTGGTGCTATATTTTATGGCTCTGGGTGTGCTTTACAGATAAGTGCACAGCATAGCAAACACCCTGGGAGGGCCTATGGGCCATAACAACCAGTTGACCAATCAACACAGGGCAAATCCTCCAAGCCTGGAGCCACACCAATCCTGAGCCTGTGTGTACCCCTAGACACTCCCCTTACGCTGCCCTATAAGATCTCTATGCAGAGGGTTAGCTGTCTTTCCTAGTCATCCGCCATGACGGGTGGATGAAAGACCCAAGCTAACATGGGGTTAGCTCGTTAAACAACAATAAAGCCTCGTGCAGTTTGCATCAAGCTTTCGACTCTGCATGGTTGATTGGGGTGGCCGAGGTCCTGGGCTGAGAATCTGGAGGCCTGAGCTTTCCAGGAGTCTTACATTGTAACTTCTCAGTGTCCACTTGATTAAAGCAGTAAGGAGAGACAAAACTGTATCCTGAATGCTGGAGCTACATTTCCCCCAAAGTGCATGTATGTTTAGCAGAATCTAGAATGGGTTTTAATTTCCTCCATTGACATAACTTTGTCCTGTTGACCCTAAAACATACTGAAAAGACCATTTTCTCAAAAACTAGTCAACATGTTCTTCCAATTGCTATATTTACACTGTGCACACCAGCATGGCTAGAAATTCTAGCCAACATGGGACGTTCCAAAGAAGAGTAGTGTGTATATGCCCAACACTGAACATGTCACTGGCCACTGCCCTATGATCATAGCACATGTGTGGATATAGACCAAGGCCAGAACTGCAGATGCACATAGATGTGTGTGTGAAAGGGAAAATCTATGCACATTTACAAGTTCGGATTATTTTGAAGGTTCATGCCTCTAAGAAGTCTCACTTTGCCCAGAATGGGGCCAGCCATGGTCAAGTGCACGGCCCAAGGAATCAGTTTGTTGACAGACCTAATTCTCCATTTGAAAGCATGAACATAACCAGAAATGGGTAAAAGGTTTCTAATATGGGCTCAAAGCAATATTTATATAAAATATAAACAGAAAATACTTAAATTACCAATGTCCTTTAAGAAAAGTAGAAACTGAATATAAACCATTTTGTACTATTTTTACGACTGCTTTTTGTATTAAAAACTAAAGTTTTTTGTTTTTTTTTTTTAACTGTAGAAGCTCTGGGGTTTGTGTCAACATCACATGACTGAACTGTAGGTGGAGTGCAACCTTTCCCTTCTTGTAGGATCCAGTGCTGGCTCACTTGAGTCTTGCCAAAGCCTCATGGGGATTAGGATTTTGTTCTGTCTCCAGAGAAGGAGTGAAAGGTTCAGGCATTATGCTGGCCTGCCCCTGTTACCTGGTGGAACAGGCAGTACCCTGGTCAGCCCAGGGTTCCATGGGAACTAAGTCTGTACGCAGGTGCAGAGGACCCCTTTAAAGCCTTGTTCCTAATTTGAACTAATAAAATAAAAAAATAATTAAAAAAATAAAAAAAGACAGATCCCTGCCCATTTATACTCTCTACTCTTCTCTTCTCTGTCTGCTTCTGCTTCTCTTCTCTCTATGGCAACCAGCCATGGCGGTCAGCCATTTACCCTGTTTCTCTTCTCTCTTAGTCTCCCTACTCTGCCAGGCCTATAATAAACTGGTTAACATGTCTAATATGTCTACTATGTCTAATATGTCTCATCCTGTGTCTCATCTTGCACCCCTTCTTCTTTATTTCTAATTTAAACAAAATTTTAACAAGGAGGGAATTGCAAGGTGAAGCCAACTGTGCACATGTGTGGTAGTCAGGGTAGAAGCAAGAAAAGCAGGTTGCACTTTCTACCAGCTGCCTTTAAATTATTTGTAGCAGAGCTGAGGGGGGCAGCAGCAAAGACCTCAAGCCGAGTTCTCTTTAGTTAGTGCATTTCTAAAGTCTGCAAGGCCACCTTAGGTACATATATATTTTAGGCATTTACTGTTCTGAAGGTAAACAAGGGCAGGAAATGTTTGGAGAAAAGACATTGCAGCTGTCGGAAGTGAGCAGCTCATCCTTCAGAGTCACCTGTCAGGCCAGGTGCCACACAGCACCTGCTCCATGCAGGGTAGCCTCAAGTGTAAGCACAGGACTCCAGCACTACGGCTGAGGGGACACAGTACTCCAGTGGTAGAAGGTGTATGCTTGTGATCTTCAAATTGCTCCTGTTGAATGGACTCCAAGTGACTGAATATTATTTAGTTTGGAAGAACTTTGTCCTACTCCTCAAGTGTGAGTGACTTCAGGGTACAGAGATGATATTTAGTTCCAACCGTCCCAAACTGAAGCCCACCTGGAGTACTTTAGTTTGTCTGACAAGGGGTCCAAAGTAATACATTTGGAAGAAGTGGCAGGTGGCATTTGGTGAGCCTGTTTCCTTTGAGATTTTGATGTTGCTTTGTGTGTGCATGCATGTGTGTGTTGTATGTGGTACACACATTGTTACATTTGTAGGACACTGTGTGTTCACATGAACAGAGGGCAGAACAGGATAGGATACTGGAAGCTTCTTCGCATTCTCTGCCTTATTGCCTTCACATGAAGTATCTAAATCAGTGGTTCTCAACCTTTGACCAACCTGACCCTTTCACGGGGATCACCCCAAACCATCATAAAACACAGATATTTACATTACGATTGTTAACAGCAGCAAGATTGTAGTTATGAAGTAGCAACAAAAACAATTTATGCTTGGGGGTCACCACAACACAAGGAACTGTATTAAAGGGTCACAGCGTTAGGAAAAGTTGCTGAGTTCAGATTCACACAGGTCTACAACTTGGTCAAGTGCCAGATACATTGGGATGTACACCCTGTCCTCTGCCCCAGCCACGTAGTGGTTTTGCTTCTCGTCCTATAGTAGTTTATAGAGCTGGCAGCCTGAACAGAATGTTGCAAAGAGACCCACAAGTGGTTGGAGGGCACCCTGGGGAAGGAAGGGATGCAAGAGCTCAGGGGCTTCATCATTGCTTCTCTGGAGTGGATTCAATGTCTTGTAAGACAAAATTTACCAGTGTAATCTCTAAACTAGGTCAGCTTGCCAAGGCTGAACTTACACAGTAGAATATTATACCCACTAAGCCAAGTCAAAATTCCCAAGTGCATTTCAGAGCCCTGGCATGTGGAAGGGGGCGGGGGAGGGATTTGTCAGGACCTGGAGGTGCTGACAGCCTGGTTCTCACTTTCTTCTCCAGCAACCAGGCTTATCACGAGGGCAGCATGGCACAAAACCTGGTGAGAAACAAATCCCTTGGATCACTCAGACTCCCAGCGAAGCCTATGTGTCTTTAAATCATATGTTGCTATGAATTCTGAAATTCAGGATCTCTTACATGTTTGAATTTAGTTTCTCAAAAGCCATTCAAAGATATGCATCAATCCTTAGAACATCCTTCTGGGCCTGCAGCACTGAGTAAGACTTGGCAAGGCATTCTGAGACACCGACATTTCTTTTTAACTGCATTGGCAATCACTATATATTTTCCAGCATGGTGAGGCTAGGGAGAGTGGCCGCAGGAAAGAGAATGCTTCTCTGGACAAACATGTGGCTGCGTTACTGGTTTGGTAAGGGCTTTTGGGAGTGAATGCTGCAATTCAAAAA